TCCCATCAGTCAAACACTGCATGATATGATAGACTGGGTACTCAGGGTGACACAGACCTCTTGGCATGTGCTCCCATCAGTCAAACACTACATGATATGATACACTGGGTACTCAGGGTGACACAGACCTCTTGGCACATGCTCCCATCAGTCAAACACTGCATGATATGATACACTGGATACTCAGGATGACACAGACCTCTTGGCATGTGCTCCCATCAGTCAAACACTACATGATATGATACACTGGATACTCAGGGTGACGCAGACCTCTTGGCACATGCTCCCATCAGTCAAACACTGCATGATATGATACACTGGGTACTCAGGGTGACACAGACCTCTTGGCACGTGCTCCCTTCAGTCAAACACTACATGATATGATACACTGGATACTCAGGATGACACAGACCTCTTGGCACGTGCTCCCATCAGTCAAACACAACTTGATATGATACACTGGATACTCAGGGTGACACAGACCTCTTGGCATGTGCTCCCATCAGTCAAACACTGCATGATATGATACACTGGATACTCAGGATTTCACAGACCTCTTGGCACATGCTCCCATCAGTCAAACACTACGTGATATGATACACTGGATACTCAGGGTGACACAGACCTCTTGGCACGTGCTCCCCTCAGTCAAACACTACATGATATGATACACTAGATACTCAGGATGACACAGACCTCTTGGCATGTGCTCCCATCAGTCAAACACTACATGATATGATACACTGGGTACTCAGGATGACACAGACCTCTTGGCACGTGCTCCCATCAGTCAAACACTACATGATATGATACACTGGATACTCAGGGTGACGCAGACCTCTTGGCACGTGCTCCCATCAGTCAAACACTACATGATATGATACACTGGATACTCAGGATGACGCAGACCTCTTGGCACGTGCTCCCATCAGTCAAACACTACATGACATGATACACTGGATACTCAGGGTGATGCAGACCTCTTGGCACGTGCTCCCATCAGTCAAACACTACATGATATGATACACTGGGTACTCAGGATTTCACAGACCTCTTGGCACATACTCCCATCGGTCAAACACTGCATGATATGATACACTGGATACTCAGGGTGACACAGACCTCTTGGCACGTGCTCCCATCAGTCAAACACTACATGATATAATACACTGGGTACTCAGGATTGCACAGACCTCTTGGCATGTGCTCCCATCAGTCAAACACTACATGATATGATACACTGGGTAATCAGGGTGACGCAGACCTCTTGGCATGTGCTCCCATCAGTCAAACACTACATGATATGATACACTGGGTAATCAGGGTGACGCAGACCTCTTGGCATGTGCTCCCATCAGTCAAACACTACATGACATGATACACTGGGTACTCAGGATGACGCAGACCTCTTGGCATGTGCTCCCATCAGTCAAACACTACATGATATGATACACTGGGTACTCAGGGTGACGCAGACCTCTTGGCATGTGCTCCCATCAGTCAAACACTACATGATATGATACACTGGATACTCAGGATGACACAGACCTCTTGGCACGTGCTCCCATCAGTCAAACACTACATGATATGATACACTGGGTACTCAGGATTTCACAGACCTCTTGGCACGTGCTCCCATCAGTCAAACACTACATGATATGATACACTGGGTACTCAGGGTGACGCAGACCTCTTGGCATGTGCTCCCATCAGTCAAACACTGCATGATATGATACACTGGATACTCAGGATGACACAGACCTCTTGGCACGTGCTCCCATCAGTCAAACACTACATGATATGATACACTGGGTACTCAGGATGACACAGACCTCTTGGCATGTGCTCCCATCAGTTCAACACTACATGATATGATACACTGGATACTCAGGGTGACGCAGACCTCTTGGCACGTGCTCCCATCAGTCAAACACTACATGATATGATACACTGGGTACTCAGGATGACGCAGACCTCTTGGCATGTGCTCCCATCAGTCAAACACTACATGATATGATACACTGGGTACTCAGGGTGACACAGACCTCTTGGCACGTGCTCCCATCAGTCAAACACTACATGATATGATACACTGGGTACTCAGGGTGACACAGACCTCTTGGCATGTGCTCCCATCAGTCAAACACTACATGATATGATACACTGGGTACTCAGGGTGACACAGACCTCTTGGCATGTGCTCCCATCAGTCAAACACTACATGATATGATACACTGGATACTCAGGGTGACGCAGACCTCTTGGCACGTGCTCCCATCAGTCAAACACTACATGATATGATACACTGGGTACTCAGGATTTCACAGACCTCTTGGCATGTGCTCCCATCAGTCAAACACTACATGATATGATACACTGGGTACTCAGGGTGACACAGACCTCTTGGCACGTGTTCCCATCAGTCAAACACTACATGATATGATACACTGGGTACTCAGGGTGACACAGACCTCTTGGCACGTGCTCCCATCAGTCAAACACTACATGATATGATACACTGGTTACTCAGGATGACACAGACCTCTTGGCATGTGCTCCCATCAGTTCAACACTACATGATATGATACACTGGATACTCAGGGTGACGCAGACCTCTTGGCACGTGCTCCCATCAGTCAAACACTACATGATATGATACACTGGGTACTCAGGATGACGCAGACCTCTTGGCACGTGCTCCCATCAGTCAAACACTACATGATATGATACACTGGATACTCAGGGTGACGCAGACCTCTTGGCACGTGCTCCCATCAGTCAAACACTACATGATATGATACACTGGGTACTCAGGGTGACACAGACCTCTTGGCATGTGCTCCCATCAGTCAAACACTACATGATATGATACACTGGGTACTCAGGGTGACACAGACCTCTTGGCACGTGCTCCCATCAGTCAAACACTACATGATATGATACACTGGGTACTCAGGGTGACACAGACCTCTTGGCACGTGCTCCCATCAGTCAAACACTACATGATATGATACACTGGGCACTCAGGGTGACGCAGACCTCTTGGCATGTGCTCCCATCAGTCAAACACTACATGATATGATACACTGGGTACTCAGGGTGACACAGACCTCTTGGCACGTGCTCCCATCAGTCAAACACTACATGACATGAAACACTGGATACTCAGGGTGACGCAGACCTCTTGGCACGTGCTCCCATCAGTCAAACACTACATGATATGATACACTGGGTACTCAGGGTGACGCAGACCTATTGGCATGTGCTCCCATCAGTCAAACACTACATGATATGATACACTGGATACTCAGGATGACACAGACCACTTGGCACGTGCTCCCATCAGTCAAACACTACATGATATGATACACTGGATACTCAGGGTGACACAGACCTATTGGCACGTGCTCCCATCAGTCAAACACTACATGATATGATACACTGGATACTCAGGGTGACGCAGACCTCTTGGCACGTGCTCCCATCAGTCAAACACTACATGATATGATACACTGGATACTCAGGGTGACACAGACCTCTTGGCACTTGCTCCCATCAGTCAAACACTACATGATATGATACACTGGATACTCAGGGTGACGCAGACCTCTTGGCACGTGCTCCCATCAGTCAAACACTACATGATATGATACACTGGATACTCAGGGTGACACAGACCTCTTGGCACGTGCTCCCATCAGTCAAACACTACATGATATGATACACTGGATACTCAGGACGACGCAGACCTCTTGGCACGTGCTCCCATCAGTCAAACATTGCATGATATGATACACTGGATACTCAGGGTGACACAGACCTATTGGCATGTGCTCCCATCAGTCAAACACTACATGATATGATACACTGGATACTCAGGGTGACACAGACCTCTTGGCACGTGCTCCCATCAGTCAAACACTACATGATATGATACACTGGGTACTCAGGATGACACAGACCTCTTGGCATGTGCTCCCATCAGTCAAACACTACATGATATGATACACTGGATACTCAGGGTGACACAGACCTCTTGGCACGTGCTCCCATCAGTCAAACACTACATGATATGATACACTGGATACTCAGGGTGACCAGACCTCTTGGCACGTGCTCCCATCAGTCAAACACTACATGATATGATACACTGGATACTCAGGGTGACCAGACCTCTTGGCATGTGCTCCCATCAGTCAAACACTACATGATATGATACACTGGTTGCTCAGGATGACGCAGACCTCTTGGCAAGTGCTCCCATCAGTCAAACACTACATGATATGATACACTGGGTACTCAGGGTGACGCAGACCTCTTGGCACGTGCTCCCATCAGTCAAACACTACATGATATGATACACTGGGTACTCAGGGTGACGCAGACCTCTTGGCACGTGCTCCCATCAGTCAAACACTACATGATATGATACACTGGATACTCAGGGTGACCAGACCTCTGGGCACGTGCTCCCATCAGTCAAACACTACATGATATGATACACTGGGTACTCACGGTGACACAGACCTCTTGGCATGTGCTCCCATCAGTCAAACACTACATGATATGATACACTGGATACTCAGGATGACGCAGACCTCTTGGCACGTGCTCCCATCAGTCAAACACTACATGATATGATACACTGGATACTCAGGGTGACCAGACCTCTGGGCACGTGCTCCCATCAGTCAAACACTACATGATATGATACACTGGGTACTCAGGGTGACACAGACCTCTTGGCATGTGCTCCCATCAGTCAAACACTACATGATATGATACACTGGATACTCAGGATTTCACAGACCTCTTGGCACGTGCTCCCATCAGTCAAACACTACATGATATGATACACTGGGTACTCAGGATGACGCAGACCTCTTGGCATGTGCTCCCATCAGTCAAACACTACATGATGTTAGTCCATTTTGTATTGCTTGCCTCTAGATCCTCTATGTTCAATACAGTGTTATCAGATATGCACTTTTTTGTTTCAGGATTTTGGAAATCGAGGCTAAGTCGGAAGCTGGATTTTCTCTGTCTCCGAAACGTGAAAACGGAATAAAGAAGTACAGAAATGCCCTGTCCCATGCGATCCCTGTCAGGAGGGGCAAAAGGTGGGAACAGCCTGCATCTCCTGTTCTTGTACTTGTAGACTTCTGCATGTTTGAAGAGCATGATTTTACCCACAGGGACAGAGTTGAATAAATGCCAGAAACTCTCACAGGGCATTATATTGTTTGTTCGTGCTTGTTGCCGACATTGTTCCAATTCTTCTCAACAATGAAACACTGTGACATCATATGGTTTCAACATAGTCTGTCTCCCAGACCCTAGAACGCCGTCATATAGCTGGAATAGTGCTGAGTGCGGAGTTAGATAACAAACCAACCAACCCAGATCCTAGAGAAGTCAATTAAAAAAGGAGTCCAACTCAAGTCTAGAGTGATCTGGAAAGTCTAGATTGCCTTATCTCTATGCCTGAAATTAAGATTGTTCATGTCTCCATTTGGATTTTTTTTTTTTATTAGATTTTTTAGATATATATTTATATATATATATATATTTTTATTTCTGGGACTAAATATCAGTCTAGCTTCCACCTATCAGCATTGATAATTGCTAAAATGCACACATGCACATATTAGAAAGTTGCACATGGCCATTCTACCCTAGGTAATATAGTTCATTTTGTGTTGCATCACCAGATCCAAGTATGAGTTTCCGCTGGCCAAGGCCGGCTGCTTCAGCAGCATCTTCTACAGCTGGCTCTCCCCCACCATGTGGAAGGTCTTCCGCAAAGGTGTCGACTTCATCGAGAACATCCAGATACTGGACGAGGACTCGGCTAAAGTCAACTCAGACAGGTAGTGTTGTCATCATTAGGGTAGCCTGGTGGTTGATGTGCTAGCCTGTTGTGTGAATGACTGGGTTTGAATCCAAACAGTTGTTGGAGAACATCCGGATACTGCGGCAAGACTTGGCTAAAGTCAACTCAGACAGGTAGTGTTGTCATCCATAGGGTAGGCTGGTGGTTGATGTGCTAGCCTGTTGTGTGCATGACTGGGTTTGAATCCAAACAGTTGTTGGAGAACATCCAGATACTGGACGAAAGACTCGGCTAAAGTCAACTCAGACAGGTAGTGTTGTCATCCATAGGGTAGGCTGGTGGTTGATGTGCTAGCCTGTTGTGTGCATGACTGGGTTTGAATCCAAACAGTTCTTTGAGAGCATCCAGATACTGGACAAAGACTTGGCTTAAGTCCAGTCAGACCAGTGGTGTTGTCTTCAGTAGGATAGCCTTGTGGTTGATGTGGTTGCTTTGAGCTTTCCTCCCACAACAATGTGACATAACTGTTCATCACCTTCAAAGACCCATTCAACCCCAAATCACTTGCTCAGGATGCAGAGTGGTGTCCCTTAGGCATGCCAGGAATCTGTACTTTGAGTTCGAAATCTCAGTTTGGCTTATATTATTTCTGGGGTTTGTACTTGTGGGTCTCACATTTCAGACCTGCATCACTTCAGGCTTAAGATGACACGGTGTGATATAACTGTGTTAAACCAAACTCATTCAACCATCAGCCCACCCATCAAATCACCCACCCACCCACCCACCCACCCACTCACTCTCACTCACTCACTCACTCACTCACTCACTCACTCACTCACTCACTCACTCACTCTACCACCCACCCACCCAGCCACTCACTCACTCACTCACCCACTCACTCACTCACTCTATGTTCCAGATTTGAAAGGTTGTGGAAAGAGGAAGTGCGCACAATGGGCGTGGCAAAATCTTCCTTCGCTCGAGTCCTGTACCGCTTCGTCAAGACTCGAATCATCGTGACGTTCTTCATCATACTTATTTTCTGTGCCTTTTGTCTTGCTAATCCGGTAAGACAGTACTCATGTTTTTGAAATCTTTAACAATAAAATAAGCTGACATCTAAAAAATGTACTACTCAAAAGAAGTGGAAGACCCACAATTCTTCTGTATGAATATGCTTAATATGTCATAGCATAACAGATCAACTATAGGAATTTTGAACGAAAAATTACTGATTGATTATAAGGGTGCGCGGTATTACTGGTATCTCGGTAAATTGAGGTTCATTCTTTCCATTATACGTATCACAAAAATCATTTTTAAATGCTCGGTATATTGGGTAATTTCAAATGGTGATTTTATCATGTGTTTAATGTTACGCTCTTGCCAAATACCCAGGGCCCCGTTCCACAAAGCGATCTTAGCTCTCAGTCTGTCGTAAGTCCATGTTAAAGTATGGGAGTTACGATCATCTTAGCGCTAAAATCGCTTTGTGGAACGGGGCCCAGAGCTTGCATCTGGACCATTTATATATATCGAATGAGTAAACATTATGTTGTACCAGCATCTTGTTTTGTTCCATTTATGAACTTCATACACTGGTGCTTCAAATTTAAGATTTAGAATTATACAATATATTGCAATACATAGTGCTATACAGCCTTGTACATTGTAAAATATTGTGATACACTTTGAACCTCCAGTACCCTTCCAAATTGATTGTAAACAAATTTCACCATTAATAATATCAGAATGCAAAGTATTGTTTTCTTATTTTAGAAAGCCTGACTTATGTGTGGCATAACAGCCATATTAGAAATGTCATTATCACTCTGACTCTGACTCAGTTTTGGCTGTATCATTATGACAATCAATATGCAGTAAGTGGTATGTGGAATATGCATAATGCTTATTTTTACCTCATTCTCTGTTCTCTGAAACCCCTTGGTTTTCATGCTGAAATTTTATGTTTGTGATCACAGAATTCCAACCATTTTGCTAATTTCTCATTTATTTACAGTATTTTGTTTTATATACAGCAATGCTCTTGTACATGTATGACTTAACAATAATGCTTGAGGGAAAAGAAGGAAATAGGTCAGTGTAAGAATACAAGTCATAAAGCTAGCCTTTTACCTTTTGGACCTGTGAAGATCCGGGGTAGAATAGGTCTTCAGCAAGCCATGCTTGCCGTAAAAGGCGAATATGCTTGTCGTATGATTTGGGTTGTTCCTTAAGAATGTTAAAATATTTTCAATCTTCCATTCACAGATCTTTTTAATCCATAATTTCCTCAACTACTTGTCTCAAGGGGAGATAACCATCGGCACGGGTCTGGCGTACGTGGCCGGGGTATTTCTGTGTGAGGCCGGCAGGACCCTGACTGGAGCAGTAGTCTGGAACCTCGGCTACCGGTCAGGTGAGACACATTGTTACCATGGTGACATAGCTGCAGTCTGGAACCTCGGCTACCGGTCAGGTGAGACACATTGTTACCATGGTGACATAGCTGCAGTCTGGAACCTCGGCTACCGGTCAGGTGAGACACACTGTTACCATGGTGACATAGCTGCAGTCTGGAACCTCGGCTACCGGTCAGGTGAGACACATTGTTACCATGGTGACATAACTGCAGTCTGGAACCTCGGCTACCGGTCAGGTGAGACACATTGTTACCATGGTGACATAGCTGCAGTCTGGAACCTCGGCTACCGGTCAGGTGAGACACATTGTTACCATAGTGACATAACTGCAGTCTGGAACCTCGGCTACTGGTCAGGTGAGACACATTGTTACCATGGAGACATAGCTGCAGTCTGGAACCTCGGCTACCGATCAGGTGAGACACATTGTTACCATGGTGACATTGCTGCAGTCTGGAACCTCGGCTACCGGTCAGGTGAGACACATTGTTACCATGGTGACATAGCTGCAGTCTGGAACCTCGGCTACCGGTCAGGTGAGACACATTGTTACCATGGTGACATAGCTGCAGTCTGGAACCTCGGCTACCGGTCAGGTGAGACACATTGTTACCATGGTGACATAGCTGCAGTCTGGAACCTCGGCTACCGGTCAGGTGAGACACATTGTTACCATGGTGACATAGCTGCAGTCTGGAACCTCGGCTACCGTTCAGGTGAGACACACTGTTACCATGGTGACATAACTGCAGTCTGGAACCTCGGCTACCGGTCAGGTGAGACACACTGTTACCATGGTGACATAGCTGCAGTCTGGAACCTCGGCTACCGGTCAGGTGAGACACATTGTTACCATGGTGACATAACTGCAGTCTGGAACCTCGGCTACCGGTCAGGTGAGACACATTGTTACCATGGTGACATAGCTGCAGTCTGGAACCTCGGCTACCATTCAGGTGAGACACACTGTTACCATAGTGACATTGCTGCAGTCTGAATCCTTGGCTACCATTCAGGTGAGACACATTGTTACCATGGTGACATAACTGCAGTCTGGAACCTCGGCTACCGGTCAGGTGAGACACATTGTTACCATGGTGACATAGCTGCAGTCTGGAACCTCGGCTACCGTTCAGGTGAGACACATTGTTACCATGGTGACATTGCTGCAGTCTGGAACCTCGGCTACCGTTCAGGTGAGACACATTGTTACCATGGTGACATAGCTGCAGTCTGGAACCTCGGCTACCGGTCAGGTGAGACACATTGTTACCATGGTGACATAGCTGCAGTCTGGAACCTCGGCTACCGTTCAGGTGAGACACATTGTTACCATGGTGACATTGCTGCAGTCTGGAACCTCGGCTACCGATCAGGTGAGACACACTGTTACCATAGTGACATTGCTGCAGTCTGAATCCTTGGCTACCATTCAGGTGAGACACACTGTTACCATAGTGACATTGCTGCAGTCTGAATCCTTGGCTACCATTCAGGTGAGACACACTGTTACCATGGTGACATAGCTGCCATCTTGAACCTTGGCTACCGGTCAGGTGAGACACACTGTTACCATAGTGACATAGTTGCAGTCTGTAGCCTTGGCTACCGTTCAGGTGAGACACATTGTTACCATGGTGACAGTCTGGAACCTCTGGTGGTAAAATGGTGCTTTTGATGATTTGGGATCTTTATTATTTTCATTTGTATTTTTTTTTAAGACAACAAGTTGGACTTGTACTGCAGATGAGGGTAGTTGTCGTTTCTGGAGCAGAAGTCCAAAACCGTCGACTATTATTAGATGAAAATTGCCCTACAGATCAGTCTAGTGGTGAACTACTAAGGGGTATCGTGTTAGTGTGGCGGTAGGGTAACCGTCTGGTTTAAGTGTTCACTCATAAACGCCGAAGACCCGGGTCTTAAACCCCGGGTTTGATTCCTCACATGGGTACAATGTGTGAAGCCCGTTTCTGGTGTCCCCTGTCGTGATATTGCTGGACTATTGCTAAAAGTGGCGTAAAACCATACCCGCTCACTCACTCAGTATTGTGTGGTCTTGCTTAGTGATTGCGTATCATCGGGCCCAGACGGTGTTGTTCAACCTTCATGACATCCCCCCCTCAAGATTAAAGCCTTTCAATGTACATTCTGTTTTTCAGGTGTGCGTGTTAGAGCTGGTGCTACAAGTTTTTTATTTAAGAAAATATTACGATTGAAGAGTTTGAAAAACAAGACTGTTGGCGAGGTATGTATTCTTGTGTGGAAGGTTGGAAACATAGTCACTTTTTCCTGTTTTGGACAGTGTAATCAATGCTGTGTAATCAATGCTGTGTAATCAATGCTGTGAACCACTCCGATCAAGTAGGTATCATGATAAGTTTGCAAATGAGATCTCTTAGCAGGAACTACTTTTTGTAGGCTCTGTACAAGGGTAACTAGGGAACTCGGGTCGGGTGGTTCCTGAGTAGGACCTGGGTACCCACGGGACTACCCGGACCCGTGGTTAGTCACGTGACACATTGTTTAAATACAATAACAATAAAAGAGGCATATTTTCGCATTTCTGCCTGGCTGTACATGCATTGTTTCTGACTTTTAAACGTTTGAGTAAAGATATAACTTCAGTCGACTTGGGTTGCATTGTTTCTAACTTTTAAACGTTTGAGTAAAGATATAACTTCAGTCGACTTCGGTACATCCATGATCTGATTGTTTTATACATGTATGTAAATAGCATTTGCCACGGCTCTGGAAAGACAATTCCAAATCGGACATGAGAATGTCCCTACAGTGGGTACCCGGGTAACATGCTGCACTAAATCTCTTTTGTTTTCTTCTCTTTTCAGCTAGTCAATTTAGTTGGTAATGATGGCCAGCGTCTGTTCGAAGCCACTGCTATTGGTCCTCTGGTCTTTTGTGCGCCCTTCGTGTTGCTGGGAGGATCTATTTATGCTGTTTTTCTACTGGGACCTTATGGTCTTATTGGAACCTTAATTTTCCTGGGCTTTTATCCCTTTGCTGTAAGTAGCAGTGCTGTAAACAGGGGTCACATGAACGTCAAGGATGGAGTTTCTCCCAACGTACCTATGCTTGTTGTAAGAGGCGACTCAGTGGATTGGGGGACAGTGTGTAGCCTAGTGGTTGAAGCGTTTGCTCGTCACGCCGAAGACCCGGATTCGATTCCCCACATGGGTACAATGTGTGAAGCCCATTTCTAGTGTCCCCTGAAATTCTTAGATTTTGGGGACCATATATTGAAAAAGATACATGACTTTGTAGCAGCAGACTTCACGGACCGTAAGCCTGCCCTTAACTCCTAACACAGGCATTATATGAATCCATTGTTCAGTTTTCTCATTTTTAGTTTAGTCATAACTTTTTTCAAAGCATAGTCTGGAATGGAAGAGGCCATCTAGTGCCTTAAAGCTTGAGAAAGCTGGGGCGATCGGGTAGCCTAGTGGTTAAAGCGTTTGCTCATTCACGCCGAAGACCCGGGTTAGATTCCCAGCATGGGTACAATATGTGAAGCCAATTTCTGGTGCCCCCCACCGTGATATTGTTGGAATATTGCTAAAATCGGCGTTAAACCATGCTCACTCACTTGAGAAAGCTGCTTTCAAATTTGCAAATTCTGACTTCCAATCAGTCTTTTCATGGTCGGTCAAAGTCCAGGAAAGGTCGTTATGACGTGACCTGTAATGGGATGACCTCAGATAGGTCTTCAGCAACCCATGCTTGCCGTAAAAGGTGACTATGCTTGTCTTAAAAGGCGACTAACGGGATCGGGTGGTCAGGCTCGCCGACTTGGTCTATGCATGTCATCGATCCCAATTGCGTGGATCAATGCTCATGATATCAATCACTGTATTGTCTGATCCAGACTCGATTATTTACAGACCGCCGTCATAAAGCTGGAATATTGCTTTGTGCGGCGTTAAACAACAAACCAACCAACCAATCAGATCTCTGATGTTAACTAGTTTGGATGTTCACTTTCAGAGCAAAATGTCCCATCTTGGCACGTCATGAGACAAAGGGTATTTTATCATGCCCAAGTGTCTCTTTATACTGTCTGTACAAGCGTTGTCCTGCCAACTGTTTTGATATTTTGTCAATAGAAGTTCTCCTGGCTCAGCAGAAAATCTGCTTTGTAGTTCATTTCTTGCTTTGTGTTATATTTGCTGTCTTTCTCCAGTTGTCTTGACATGGTTCTTGTTTCCAGGCACTGATATCAAGACTCACAACTAAGTTTAGGAGAGAAGGAATAAAAGTGACAGATAAGCGTGTGAGTATGCCGTACATGTTCTGGGTTATAGGGTTGGGGGATCTGTTTGTTGGCCGTACATGTCCCGGGTTATATGGTTGGGGGATCTGTTTGTTGGCCGTACATGTCCCGGGTTATAGGGTTGGGGGATCTGTTTGTTGGCTGTACATGTCCCGGGTTATAGGGTTGGGGTATCTGTTTGTTGGCCGTACATGTCCCGGGTTATAGGGTTGGGGTATCTGTTTGTTGGCTGTACATGTCCCGGGTTATAGGGTTGGGGTATCTGTTTGTTGGCCGTACATGTCCCGGGTTATAGGGTTGGGGTATCTGTTTGTTGGTCCTCCGAGACACAAATCCATCAGTGGGTCCACACAACTATACTGGTGATGAATAAGTAACACTTTTTATGGGCTGCAACTCCTGTTTTTTCTTTGTCATGATGTTTCAGAGCTACTTCTTGCTCCTTTATCGGGTGAATGCTGATAAAATGCATAGAGTTAATATATATATATAACACATGATGCCATTGAGAAAGTAGTCAAATGTAACAAATATTATATTTGGGATAACACTTTCTTTAATATGAAAGACTTGGCATTACAGTTTTACCATGGTAATTTGAAAGACCTGGCATGACAGATTACCCATAGTAATATGATGACCTGGCATGACAGATTACCCATAGTAATATGAAAGACCTGGCATGACAGATTACCCATAGTAATATGTAAGTCTGGCATGACAGATTACCCATAGTAATATGAAAGACCTGGCATGACAGATTACCCATAGTAATATGAAAGACCTGGCATGACAGATTACCCATAGTAATATGAAGACCTGGCATGACAGATTACCCAAAGTAATATGATGACCTGGCATGACAGATTACCCATAGTAATATGAAAGACCTGGCATGACAGATTACCCATAGTAATATGAAGACCTGGCATGACAGATTACCCATAGTAATATGAAAGACCTGGCATGACAGATTACCCATAGTAATATGATGACCTGGCATGACAGATTACCCATAGTAATATGAAAGACCTGGCATGACAGATTACCCATAGTAATATGAAAAAAATGGGTGGACCTTAACTTCTGTTGAGTAGTATAGATGAATAATTAGATGATAAACAGATGGTACACAGATGGTACAGAGATGGTATACAGAAGGTACTTGAATATTACTTAGATGTTCTCCAATTGGTACATGAGTGATACAGGGATGATTCACAATACAATATCTGTTTGTTGTATATGTGGATGTGCAGAAAAAAATGTGTAAATTACACTGTCAGAATATCGTCCGCGGGTTGATTTGTGTAATCATGGTCCTAATCTTGTCGCCGTGTTCTCCTCCACATCCAGGTTCGCATGATGTCTGAACTGCTGACTTGTGTGAAACTCATCAAGATGTATGCGTGGGAAAAACCGTTTGCCAAAACAATATCAGGTGTGTTATTCTTCGTATCCGGTCGCAACCCTAGTGTAATATTACTGCTCTGGACTTATTCCTCTATAACAGAAGAGCACTATACCTACCCCCCGTGTTGGGATTCAGGGGCGAAATACCTCCACAGTACCTTATGTGATTGAACTCCTAAAGGAATTCTTGGGCAGTGAGGTGGCACGGGTGGCCCAATCGTCTAAGGCGCTGTGGTTCACTGTGCAGAGTTCGACCCTTGGGCATGCCAGAAACCTATGATTGTGGGTTCGAATCCTGGTTCGCCCCGATTATGTTTCTAGGTTTGTCAGCACCATACCCGTGCTCGTGGGTTTCACTGAAGTCTTAAACGTCTGAGACCTGCATAACTTCGGGCTTTCCTCCCACATTAAGCTGACATGCCGTGATAAAACTGGAATACTGTTAAAAGCGGCGTTAAACCCAACTCACTTACCCACTCACTGACCCACCTAGTCCGAGTACCCGAGTTACCCGTCCCAGCCCTATAAGAAGTACAAAGTAAGATGAGAATCTGGTGATGAAACATTTGTGACCTTGCTTATTGTGTGTCATTGTTCCGCTATGGTGCACGTTGTTGCTCTTGCCATTAACCTCTTGTTTATAAATTACTGCACATTGGACCCGTGAAGATTCTGGGGTAGAATAGGTCTTCAGCAACCCATGCTTGCCATAAAAGGCGACTATGCTTGTATGCTTGTTAAAGGCGACTAACAGGTTTGGGTGGTCAGGCTCGCTGACGTGATTGATGCATGTCATCGATCCCAATTGTGCGGATCGATGCTCATGATGTCAATCACTGGATTGTCTGGTCCAGACTCGATTATTTACAGACCGCCGTCATATAGCTGGAATATTGCTGTGTATGTAGTTAAACAACAAACAAACAAACAAAACTGCACATTGCCTACATTCAACAAGGGACGAGAGAGTTCCCAGTGTGTACAGGGTCTATGACTGGTTGTGTGTGTTGTACAGACATCCGGAGTACAGAGCGCCGGGTGTTGGAGAAGGGGGCGTACGTACAGTCTCTCAGCACATCCATTGCTGGCATGGTGCCGGTCTTCTCATCCGTCATCACCTTCATAGCCTACGTGGCCTCAGGGAACGAACTCACAGCTGCCAAGGTAGTACTGCTTACGTCATGTACATATGTGTGCTTTCGGAAATAAGTATTTATTGTCATGCGTCTAGTCTAGTCTAGTCTAGTCTAGTCTAGTCTAGTCTAGTCTAGTCTAGTCTAGTCTAGTCTAGTCTAGTCTAGTCAAAAAAAGCTTTGGGCCACTCTTTTTAAGTCTTATCTTTCATGGATTATTTTCCATGAAAGTCGGTCGGTCAAGTAAGAATAAAATTATTTTTTTTATTTATTTATTTATCTATCTATCTATCTATCTATCTATCTATCTATCTATCTATCTATCTATCTATCTATCTATCTATCTATCTATCTATCTATCTATCTATCTATCTATCTATATATCTATCTATCTATCTATCTATCTATCTATGCATTTATTTATGCATTTATTTATTTATTTATTTATTTATTTATTTATTTATTTATGAAATCCTTCTGCAGTGGAGTTAAAACTGCAGCTGGCTTCTTAAATCACTGATACTAGTGGTAGTGATGTAGACATGGAATTTATATATAACATTTTTTATTGAGGATCTTTATTACTAGTGGGAGACATAATAAAAATAAATATTTTCTGTTAAATTATTTCTTATCCAGCTGCTTTTTAGGATGGGCGGCAGGCTGGTGAAAATAAAAAAATAAAATGTGTATAAATTGTGTATGGTTTTAATAAGCGTCTGCTGTTTTCAATTTTTTTAGTACCTAGGGTGCTTATCATGCTTATTAGTACCTAGGGTGCTTATCACAGCAAATACGGTACATTTTTGGTTTCATGTTTTTCAGGCTTTCACATTTGTGTCATTGTTGAATTCGATGAGGTTCTCACTTGGTGTCCTGCCATATGCAATAAAGGCCCTGGCTGAAGTCTTTGTCTCCATGACGAGGTATAAGGTGGGTTCTAGAAGACTGCCTTTTATAAAAACCACTGGTCCTAAACTCGAGTCAGGATTTCATTTTGTAATAATATTAATTATGTTTTTGTGTTTAAAAAATACTTAAAACAATAAAGTTTGGCTTGTAGACTCAAAAGGTTTGGGTACAGACTGTCCTAGTTATGTTGCTCTCATACTCTGTGGGGGATCAGGCGAAGAATTGGTATCCAGTTTCCCATGCTTATTGCAATAGCCCACTAAATCATGGCCCAAGACCCAACACAGTCTTAGCGCTAAGTCAAACTTAAGGTATGGGAGTAACAATCATTTTAGTGCTAAGTCAAACTTAAGGTATGGGAGTAACAATCACCTTGTGCTAAGTCAAACTTTAGGTATGGGAGTGACAATCACCTTGTGCTAAGTCAAACTTAAGGTATGGGAGTAACAATCACCTTATGCTAAGTCAAACTTAAGGTATGGGAGTAACAATCACCTTGTGCTAAGTCAAACTTAAGGTATGGGAGTAACAATCACCTTATGCTAAGTCAAACTTTAGGTATGGGAGTGACAATCACCTTGTGCTAAGTCAAACTTAAGGTATGGGAGTAACAATCATTTTAGTGCTAAGTCAAACTTAAGGTATGGTGGTAACAATCATTTTAGTGCTAAGTCAAACTTAAGGTATGGGAGTAACAATCATTTTAGTGCTAAGTCAAACTTAAGGTATGGGAGTAACAATCATTTTAGTGCTAAGTCAAACTTAAGGTATGGGAGTAACAATCATTTTAGTGCTAAGTCAAATTTGAGGTATGGGAGTAACAATCACCTTGTGCTAAGTCAAACTTAAGGTATGGGAGTAACAATCACCTTATGCTAAGTCAAATTTAAGGTATGGGAGTAACAATCACTTTGTGCTAAGTCAAACTTTAGGTATGGGAGTGACAATCACCTTGTGCTAAGTCAAACTTAAGGTATGGGAGTAACAATCACCTTATGCTAAGTCAAACTTAAGGCATGGGAGTGACAATCACCTTGTGCTAAGTCAAACTTTAGGTATGGGAGTGACAATCACCTTGTGCTAAGTCAAACTTAAGGTATGGGAGAAACAATCATTTTAGTGCTAAGTCAAACTTAAGGTATGGGAGTAACAATCATTTTAGTGCTAAGTCAAACTTAAGGTATGGGAGTAACAATCATTTTAGTGCTAAGTCAAATTTGAGGTATGGGAGTAACAATCACCTTGTGCTAAGTCAAACTTAAGGTATGGGAGTAACAATAACCTTATGCTAAGTCAAATTTAAGGTATGGGAGTAACAATCACTTTGTGCTAAGTCAAACTTTAGGTATGGGAGTGACACTCACCTTGTGCTAAGTCAAACTTAAGGTATGGGAGTGACAATCACCTTGTGCTAAGTCAAACTTTAGGTATGGGAGTGACAATCACCTTGTGCTAAGTCAAACTTAAGGTATGGGAGTAACAATCATTTTAGTGCTAAGTCAAACTTAAGGTATGGGAGTAACAATCATTTTAGTGCTAAGTCAAACTTAAGGTATGGGAGTAACAATCATTTTAGTGCTAAGTCAAATTTGAGGTATGGGAGTAACAATCACCTTGTGCTAAGTCAAACTTAAGGTATGGGAGTAACAATAACCTTATGCTAAGTCAAATTTAAGGTATGGGAGTAACAATCACTTTGTGCTAAGTCAAACTTTAGGTATGGGAGTGACACTCACCTTGTGCTAAGTCAAACTTAAGGTATGGGAGTGACAATCACCTTGTGCTAAGTCAAACTTTAGGTATGGGAGTGACAATCACCTTGTGCTAAGTCAAACTTAAGGTATGGGAGTAACAATCATTTTAGTGCTAAGTCAAATTTGAGGTATGGGAGTAACAATCATTTTAGTGCTAAGTCAAACTTAAGGTATGGGAGTAACAATCATTTTAGTGCTAAGTCAAATTTGAGGTATGGGAGTAACAATCACCTTGTGCTAAGTCAAACTTTAGGTATGGGAGTAACAATCACCTTATGCTAAGTCAAACTTTAGGTATGGGAGTAACGATCTTAGTGCAAAGTCACAGTTAAATTTGGGGGTAATGATCATATTAGCGCTAAGATCACTTTGTGGGAACGTAGCCTAGTGTTCAGGTTTTATGGTGTGGCTGGAAGTGCGACAAAGTGCCCCGGTTTTGACCTTTGAGGTGCTTTCAATCACTGGTTTGCCTGGTCCAGACTCGACTTGCTATACCTGCACAGTGTGACGATGTGATGGTGTTGTTCTGCAGAGTGTGTTGTGTATGGAGGAGATCACCCCGCCCAGGTGCAGTGTGACGTCCTCCAATCAAAGAATAGCTATGCAAGATGCCACGTTTAGCTGGGGCATCATTGAATCTGCTGAGAAGAAACATAGTGAGTTTGATTTTATTTCATAACGTTTTCAGCCTTATTATTGAAGAATGATTTCTACATTTTTAATTTACAGGAGGTATTGACGTAAAAACATACTGCACACTGTGTAAATCAGCGTAACGGATTTACGCAAAGCGTGCACACCAGTTTTTACATTTGTGACTCCATCAATACAGAATCATTTTGAATTCAATTGTTATAAATACACCTGTGAAGATCCGGGGGAGAATGCTCCTGATGTCAATCACTGGATTGTGTGGTCCAGACTTGATTATTTACAGACCACTGTCACCTGGAACATTGCTGAGTGCTGCGTTAAACAACAAACAAACAAACAAATGTTATGAATAATTAATCAGCAATAATAACAGACTGCTTGTGGACGTAGCCTAATTTGTTTTCGGTTTAATGTAAATGCAATAGATTTTGCTAGGTTTCCCAATCAAATGCCACAAAATTATTTAGTGTTTTTTTTTAATACTGGAATGAAAAATTAAAAACGGGTACCATTGTTTGTTGTTTGACCACAAACAAACTCCTCTCATTACACATTTTAGTAGCAGACATTCCAGTTCTGTTTAGGGAATAGTGCCATTGCTGTTTCACTTGGAAGGTGTAGAAAGAATTGAATGAACGGTAGGAATCATATGTTGTATTTTTGTCATGGACATGGTGCTCCCACAGTTCGTCAGGATGTCACTTGGACTCTGAAATGCTGGACTAACCATAGATGTAATCAAATACATGATGTTCACATACTTATACCACCCTGTGAAGATCTGAGTTAGAAGAGGTCTTCAGCAACCCATGCTTGTTGTAAGAGGCGACTAGCGGGATCTGGTGGTCAGGCTCGCTGACTTGGTTGATGCATGTCATCGATCCCAATTGCGTGTATCAATGCTCATGATGTGTGAGTCACTGGATTGTGTGGTCCAGTCTCGATTATTTACAGACCGCGTCATAAAGCTGTAATATTGCTGAGTGTGTCGTTAAAGAACAAACAAATGTGCTTATGAATTACTTCTTTATGGTTTTATGTACAAGAACTTCTGAAGGGCTAAAGTGTATATTTTCTGATGGTAATTATGTGTATATTTTCTGATGGTAATTATGTGTTTATTTTCTGTTGAAGATCATGATAATGGCAGCGTATCAAAACCGGAGATGAATGGCGGTCACTTCCCAGATGACACAACAGCGCTGCGAGAGGCGGACGAGACCACCATGTTGGATGCTGTCCCAGAACCCAGCCTTACAGACATTACATTTGTACTTGAGAAGGTGAGTTATCTGCCCTTGCTGAGACATATGCACAGCAGTCCTACAAAGTATTAACTCTACGATGCGTCCAAAACAATACATGTATTTTTTTGTTGAATATGCACACCAAAATACAGCTGCTTTTACATTAAAAAAATATAACAATAAATGTTTGGTTCCTCGGCACAAAGTTTGATATAGAGGATATTTGGCTTTTCTATTCAAGTACTGGAAATTATTGCGTCTCCAAATTTATATGACTGCTGACCTAAGCCAAAAATGTGACTCAATATCAATGCAACTCCCCCACCGCATCACCAGTGGAATGATACATATCCTTGCCTTAATCTAATCAAACAGCAAGTAGCACCGCTTATTAGCGCTGAGTAGAGCACTTCCGTAAAAATAATAAACACTGTTTTCCTAGAAACATCACACAGTTTATATGTTTACTCTGCTGACTGGCATTAAGGAAGTTCAAAGGCAATAAAATAATTGAACCAACAACAGTTCACTGATTGGTATGCGGAGAAAGTGTCAACAAGCTTTGCACGAATGGGTAGAACTCTTGACCCCAGCAGTGATAACTCACCGGAAGCCCATTGTTGGTTGGTGTTAGTTCGTTGTTTAACGCCACACTCAGCAATATTCCAGCTATATGAAGGCGGTCTGTAAATAATGGAGTCTGGACCAGACAATCCAGTAATTAATGTCATGAGCATCGATCCACGCAATTGGGATCGATGGCATGCATCAATCAAGTCAGCGAGCCTGACCACCCGATCCCGTTAGTCGCCTTTTACGACATGCATAGTCACCTTTTACGGCAAGGATGGGTAGCTGAAGACCTATTCTACCCTGGAATCTTCACGGGTCGGAAGTCTATTTTGTGTTTCCTATTTTTTGAATGACATTGTTATATACTTGTTACAACTGCTGCTCAATAAATCGTGTTTGTGTTTATATTCAAGTTTGTATTTCCGCTGTCCAAAGTGTGCAGTGAGACCTTCTTATTGTTGATTTTCATTTGGAGACATAAATGCGAAGTTAATTAATGCGAGCAAAGACCGTTCACATTTTTTCGCATTTAATTCACGCTCGCGTTATTTTCAAGATCTACAGTAGCTCATTTCTGATGTCCGTCAATGTCATATTACATGAATATTGCTGAAAGTGGCCTAAAACCCAACTCCCTCACTCGCCCATTATAAGCCTTTGTTTTAGTGACCGCCTCCGTGGTCTTGTGGTAGAGCGTCTGCCCAGAGAGCGGAAGGTCCAGGGTTCGATCCCGGGCCGCGTCATACAAAAAGACGTTAAAAGATTGTACTTGTTGTTACCCTGTCTGGCGCTCGGCATTAAGGGGCGAAAACAAGGACTGGTCGGCTCAGAGTCAGTATACTGTGTCTGAGTGGGGTATTCATGTTAAACTGCAGCATGGTATCTCAGTGAGCTAGCACTATAAATCGGCATCAGTCCGGACTAGTACAAGCAGCCACACACACATACACGTGCATGCACGTCGCTATGTAAGTGCAATAATCTTGGACGCGACGTTAAACCCAATTTCACCTCACCTCACCTTGTTTTAGTGTTTTCTTTTCAAAGCCTTCGAGTGTGTGATGTATGTGTGTAGCTGTTGTTCCCTCCAATGATTGCTGTGTGTTTTTCCAGGGCAAACTGCTGGGGGTGTGTGGCAGTGTGGGGGCGGGGAAGACGTCTCTCATCAACGCCATCCTCGGAAGAGTAAGTTAACCTTAACTTAATAATGGCTTCTGACAAAGATTGAGAGACAAGTATTTTTCTTAAAATTAACTTTCATGGTGATGTGGTCATCAATTCAGCTGCCAATCAGAGGTGGTTATTGTGATTAGAAACCTCTGATTAACCAATCAGTTTTGAGTATTTTCCAAGTTCAGGGTCAAATCATAGTTTGCCCCTCTAAGCAAAGAGGCAGCCCTGTATTTTCGCTTTTTAGTTAGGCTTCTAATATCAATATTTTAGGAGCTAAACCTAAATTTTTCGCGCCAACAGATATCTTAAACAGATATTGTCGCCAGTTTTGTAACTTTTAGGTAGCCAAGTGGTGAGCAGTAGATAAATTTAGGTCACCAATTATAGATTTAAGTTGCATTTGGCCTCCAAAAAGGGCTGTGATGGTATTTCTGTATTGTGTTGTGCAGATGGATCTGCTGAGTGGGAAGATCGCTGTCAATGGCAGCATAGCTTACGTCCCCCAGCAAGCCTGGATCACCAACACCACCGTCCGGGAGAATATCCTCTTTGGGCTTCCATACAATGAGAAACGGTAAACAGAATTTTTACATTATTATGATATTTATAAATTAATATTTTTATGATTACATTTAGTTCTTTCGATCACTTACATATGAAATATCTTTTTAATCAATTTCCAAAATAACTTGTTTTTGATCAATTTATTCCCTGGTTAGAAACCTAAGCGGCATTGTGCATAAAAGCAATGACTTATTTGTTTCAGCTACAATGAGATTGTCAGAGCCTGTGCCTTGAATACGGACTTCCATACTTTTGTATCTGGTGATACAACAGAGGTATGAATCTTGCATTCAGCAATTCGGGTCTGGGCCAGAACAGGTCCCAAGCAAGTTACGGTCTCGGACGAATTCTGCAATTTCGCGTTCGCAGAATGATTTTCAGAAAATGTAACTTACTGCAGAATTGCAGAAAAATTTGATTTTGGATTTTTTTTCATCAAACATAAAACATGACCCAAACATTTAACATATCATGCAGACATACAAAATACAAATCCTACAATAAAACAAAAATAGAAGATCAATGTTCATGATATCAATCACTGGATTGTCTGTCCACACTCGATTATTTACAGACCGCTGTCATAGAGCTGGAATATTGCTGAGTGCTGAGTTTAAACAAACAAACAAACAAACAAACAAACAAACCAAAACATCCCCTCAGAGGTCCCAGGTCCACAGTGCTCCTGGCTTGTTGCTGGCGTCAGGTTGCCAGGGTCAGGTTGCCAGGGGTGACTGATTGTTGGGCAATTCTTGAAGGTTTTGGCTTGTTGCTGATGCTATCAAATACAGGATTGTCTCTTTCCTACTTGATTATTAACAGGCTGCAGTGATATTGCTCCCCCTCCCTCCCTCCCTTCCTCTCTCCCTCACGGGCCTGTGGCCTACATGTATACACAATAAACATGTATATATACTTGCCTTGCCTTATTTCCCACTCACTCGCTCACTCACTCACTCACTCACTCACTCACTCACTCACTCACTCACTCACTCAAACATGGGTTTGTGACCAACAATGAACCTTGGTATATATACTTACCTTGTCTCATTTCCCATTTTCTCACCCTCTCACTCACTCACCCATGGGCCTGTGGACAAGAAAAAAACCTGTATATATATACCGTATTTGACGCAATAAGCGCCCCGCTCTAATAAGCGCCCACAGCGACATTTGCTTGGATATCGGCTATTGAACAATCCCAATCAGAACCCCTTCCGAGTGATCAATGTACACAAGACTTATTTATTCGCGTATAATATGCACTTGTGTGTTCTATGCACCCTAATTATGGGCATTTAATTCTGGAAAAATATATCTGTCGTACATAAACGTTTCAGGCTGTCGGCGTAAACCACAAAATTTATCTTTCAACTCTGTTTTTCCCACCAAAATAACATTCTAATAAGAGCCCCCTATTTCTTATTTTGAGAGCGCCCGGGGCGAATACGGTATATATATATATATACTCACCTTGAATGATTCACTCACTCTTCTGGTCCAGATTGGAGAACGGGGTCTCAACCTGAGTGGGGGACAGAAGCAGCGGATCAGCATGGCTCGGGCAGTGTACAGCGACAGTGAGATCTACCTGCTTGACGACCCTCTGTCTGCTGTCGACGTCCACGTTGGACAACACATTGCCAATGAAGTTCTCCTGAAGATGCTGAAGGGGAAGACCGTGCTGTTTATCACGCATCAGCTCCAGGTGAGTCTCTTATGACACACAAGACTCAGGTGGGTCTATTATTGCCCATCTGATCCAGGTGGGTCTGTTATTACCCATCAGATCTAGGTGGGTCTGTTATTGCCCATCAGATCCAGTTGGTCTGTTATTGCCCATCAAATCTAGGGGGGGTCTGTTATTACCCATCAGATCTAGGTGGGTCTGTTAATGCCCATCAGATCCAGGTGGTCTGTTATTGCCCATCAAATCTAGGGGGGGGGGGGGGGGGGGGTCTGTTATTACCCATCAGATGCAGGTGGGTCTGTTATTGCCCATCAGATCTAGGTTGGTCTGTTATTGCCCATCAGGTCCAGGTGGGTCTGTTATTACCCATCAGATGCAGATGGTCTGTTATTACCCATCAGATCTAGGTGGTTCTGTTATTACCCATCAGATCCAGTAGGGTCTGTTATTACTCATCAGATCAAGGTGGGTCTGTTATTACCCATCAGATGCAGATGGTCTGTTATTACTCATCAGATCCAGGTGGGTCTGTTATTACTCATCAGATGCAGATGGTCTGTTATTACCCATCAGATCTAGGTGGGTCTGTTATTACTCATCGGATCTAGGTGGTTCTGTTATTACCCATCAGATCTAGGTGGTTCTGTTATTACCCATCAGATCTAGGTGGGTCTGTTATTACCCATCAGATCCAGGTGGGTCTGTTATTACCCTTCAGATCCAGGTGGGTCTGTTATTACTCATCAGATCTAGGTGGTTCTGTTATTGCCCATCAGATCTAGGTGGTTCTGTTATTACCTATCAGATCCAGGTGGGTCTGTTATTACCCATCAGATCCAGTAGGGTCTGTTATTACTCATCATATCTAGGTGGTTCTGTTATTACCCATCAGATCCAGGTGGGTCTGTTATTACCCATCAGATCTAGGTGGTTCTGTTATTACCCATCAGATCTAGGTGGTTCTGTTATTACCCATCAGATCCAGTAGGGTCTGTTATTACTCATCAGATCTAGGTGGTTCTGTTATTACCCATCAGATCCAGTATTGATCTGATACTTCTCTTATACAACCAGGAGTATGGTCACACAGATGTAGTTAGTAATGACCAGGTATTATTTTAGTGTTTTGACAACTGGCCCACCTGGTCATTAAAGCATGAATATTAACTCAAGATGTAACTCAATACCTGGTTCAGTGTTCTGACTGTACTCTGGTTCAGTGTTCTGACTGTACTCTGGTTCAGTGTTCTGACTGTACTTGTAGTACCTGGTTCAGTGTTCTGACTGTACTCTGGTTCAGTGTTCTGACTGTACTCTGGTTCAGTGTTCTGACTGTACTTGTAGTACCTGGTTCACTGTTCTGACTACTTGTAGTACCTGGTTCACTGTTCTGACTACTTGTAGTACCTGGTTCACTGTTCTGACTACTTGTAGTACCTGGTTCACTGTTCTGACTGTACTCTGGTTCAGTGTTCTGACTGTACTCTGGTTCAGTGTTCTGACTACTTGTAGTACCTGGTTCACTGTTCTGACTACTTGTAGTACCTGGTTCACTGTTCTGACTGTACTCTGGTTCAGTGTTCTGACTACTTGTAGTACCTGGTTCACTGTTCTGACTACTTGTAGTACCCGGTTCACTGTTCTGACTACTTGTAGTACCTGGTTCACTGTTCTGACTGTACTCTGGTTCAGTGTTCTGACTGTACTTGTAGTACCTGGTTCACTGTTCTGACTACTTGTAGTACCTGGTTCACTGTTCTGACTGTACTCTGGTTCAGTGTTCTGACTACTTGTAGTACCTGGTTCACTGTTCTGACTACTTGTAGTACCTGGTTCACTGTTCTGACTGTACTCTGGTTCAGTGTTCTGACTGTACTTGTAGTACCTGGTTCACTGTTCTGACTACTTGTAGTACCTGGTTCACTGTTCTGACTACTTGTAGTACCTGGTTCACTGTTCTGACTACTTGTAGTACCTGGTTCACTGTTCTGACTACTTGTAGTACCTGGTTCACTGTTCTGACTGTACTCTGGTTCAGTGTTCTGACTGTACTTGTAGTACCTGGTTCAGTGTTCTGACTGTACTCTGGTTCAGTGTTCTGACTGTACTCTGGTTCAGTGTTCTGACTACTTGTAGTACCTGGTTCACTGTTCTGACTACTTGTAGTACCTGGTTCACTGTTCTGACTACTTGTAGTACCTGGTTCACTGTTCTGACTACTTGTAGTACCTGGTTCACTGTTCTGACTGTACTCTGGTTCAGTGTTCTGACTGTACTCTGGTTCACTGTTCTGACTACTTGTAGTACCTGGTTCACTGTTCTGACTGTACTCTGGTTCAGTGTTTTGACTGTACTTGTAGTACCTGGTTCACTGTTCTGACTACTTGTAGTACCTGGTTCACTGTTCTGACTACTTGTAGTACCTGGTTCACTGTTCTGACTACTTGTAGTACCCGGTTCACTGTTCTGACTACTTGTAGTACCTGGTTCACTGTTCTGACTGTACTCTGGTTCAGTGTTCTGACTGTACTCTGGTTCAGTGTTCTGACTTTACTTGTAGTACCTGGTTCACTGTTCTGACTACTTGTAGTACCCGGTTCACTGTTCTGACTGTACTCTGGTTCACTGTTCTGACTACTTGTAGTACCTGGTTCACTGTTCTGACTGTACTCTGGTTCAGTGTTCTGACTTTACTTGTAGTACCTGGTTCACTGTTCTGACTACTTGTAGTACCTGGTTCACTGTTCTGACTACTTGTAGTACCTGGTTCAGTGTTCTGACTACTTGTAGTACCTGGTTCAGTGTTCTGACTGTACTCTGGTTCAGTGTTCTGACTACTTGTAGTACCTGGTTCACTGTTCTGACTACTTGTAGTACCTGGTTCACTGTTCTGACTGTACTCTGGTTCACTGTTCTGACTTTACTTGTAGTACCTGGTTCACTGTTCTGACTACTTGTAGTACCTGGTTCACTGTTCTGACTTTACTTGTAGTACCCGGTTCACTGTTCTGACTACTTGTAGTACCTGGTTCACTGTTCTGACTGTACTCTGGTTCACTGTTCTGACTTTACTTGTAGTACCTGGTTCAGTGTTCTGACTACTTGTAGTACCTGGTTCACTGTTCTGACTACTTGTAGTACCCGGTTCACTGTTCTGACTTTACTTGTAGTACCTGGTTCACTGTTCTGACTACTTGTAGTACCTGGTTCACTGTTCTGACTTTACTTGTAGCACCTGGTTCACTGTTCTGACTTTACTTGTAGTACCTCGTTCACTGTTCTGACTTTACTTGTAGTACCTGGTTCACTGTTCTGACTTTACTTGTAGTACCTGGTTCACTGTTCTGACTGTACTCTGGTTCACTGTTCTGACTACTTGTAGTACCTGGTTCACTGTGACGAGGTGATGTTCCTGAAGGAGGGCCAGATAGAAGAGAAGGGCACCCATGACGAGCTGATGCAGCAGGACAGGGAGTACAGCGGGCTGATCAAGATGTTCTACACCGAGCAGATGGAGGAATACGAAGAAGCTGATACTGTACCCACAGGTCAGTGCAGGGTGTCATGTTGGGGGAGGTGGAGTATCTGTAGCCACAGGTCAGTGCAGGGTGTCATGTTGGGGGGAGGTGGAGTATCTGTAGCCACAGGTTAGTGCAGGGTGTCATGTTGGGGGAGGTGGAGTAACTGTAGCCACAGGTTAGTGCAAGGTGTCATGTTGGGGGAGGTGGAGTATCTGTACCCACAGATCAGTTCAGGGTGTCATGTTGGGGGAGGTGGAGTATCTGTACCCACAGGTCAGTGCAGGGTGTCATGTTGGGGAGGTGGAGTATCTGTAGCCACAGGTTAGTACAGGGTGTCATGTTGGGGGAGGTGGAGTATCTGTACCCACAGGTCAGTGCAGGGTGTCATGTTGGGGAGATGGAGTATCTGTAGCCACAGGTCAGTGGAGGGTGTCATGTTGGGGGAGGTGGAGTATCTGTAGCCACAGGTCAGTGGAGGGTGTCATGTTGGGGGGAGGTTGAGTATCTGTAGCCACAGATCAGTGCAGGGTGTCATGTTGGGGGAGGTGGAGTATCTGTAGCCACAGATCAGTGCAGGGTGTCATGTTGGGGTAGGTGGGGTATCTGTAGCCACAGGTCAGTGCAGGGTGTCATGTTGGGGAAGGTGGAGTATCTGTAGCCACAGGTTAGTGCAGGGTGTCATGTTGGGGGAGGTGGAGTATCTGTAGCCACAGGTCAGTGCAGGGTGTCATGTTGGGGGAGGTGGGGTATCTGTAGCCACAGGTGAGTGCAGGGTGTCATGTTGGGGGAGGTGGGGTATCTGTAGCCACAGGTAAGTTCAGGGTGTCAGTTGGGGGAGGTGGGGTATCTGTAGCCACAGGTCAGTGCAGGGTGTCATGTTGGGGGAGGTGGAGTATCTGTAGCCACAGGTGAGTGCAGGGTGTCATGTTGGGGGAGGTGGAGTATCTGTAGTCACAGGTCAGTGCAGGGTGTCATGTTGTGGGAGGTGGAGTATCTGTAGCCACAGGTCAGTGCAGGGTGTCATGTTGGGGGAGGTGGGGTATCTGTAGCCACAGGTCAGTGCAGGGTGTCATGTTGGGGGAGGTGGAGTATCTGTAGCCACAGGTCAGTGCAGGGTGTCATGTTGTGGGAGGTGGAGTATCTGTAGCCACAGGTCAGTGCAGGGTGTCATGTTGGGGGAGGTGGAGTATCTGTAGCCACAGGTCAGTGCAGGTAGTCATGTTGGGGGAGGTGGAGTATCTGTAGTCACAGGTCAGTGCAGGGTGTCATGTTGTGGGAGGTGGAGTATCTGTAGTCACAGGTCAGTGCAGGGTGTCATGTTGTGGGAGGTGGAGTATCTGTAGCCACAGGTCAGTGCAGGGTGTCATGTTGGGGGAGGTGGGTTATCTGTAGCCACAGGTCAGTGCAGGGTGTCATGTTGGGGGAGGTGGAGTATCTGTAGCCACAGGTCAGTGCAGGGTGTCATGTTGGGGGAGGTGGAGTATCTGTAGTCACAGGTGAGTGCAGGGTGTCATGTTGGGGAAGGTTGAGTATCTGTAGCCACAGGTCAGTGCAGGGTGTCATGTTGGGGGAGGTGGAGTATCTGTAGCCACAGGTCAGTGCAGGGTGTCATGTTGGGGAGGTGGGGTATCTGTAGCCACAGGTCAGTGCAGGGTGTCATGTTGGGGAGGTTGAGTATCTGTAGCCACAGGTCAGTGCAGGGTGTCATGTTGTGGGAGGTGGAGTATCTGTAGCCACAGGTCAGTGCAGGGTGTCATGTTGGGGGAGGTGGGGTATCTGTAGCCACAGGTCAGTGCAGGGTGTCATGTTGGAGGGAGGTGGAGTATCTGTAGGCACAGGTCAGTTCAGGGTGTCATGTTGGGGGAGGTGGAGTATCTGTAGCCACAGGTCAGTGCAGGGTGTCATGTTGGGGGGAGGTGGAGTATCTGTAGCCACAAGTCAGTGCAGGGTGTCATGTTGGGGGAGGTGGAGTATCTGTAGGCACAGGTTAGTGCAGGGTGTCATGTTGGGGGAGGTGGAGTATCTGTAGCCACAGATCAGTTCAGGGTGTCATGTTGGGGGGAGGTGGAGTATCTGTAGCCACAGGTCAGTGCAGGGTGTCATGTTGGGGGAGGTGGAGTATCTGTAGCCACAGGTCAGTGCAGGGTGTCATGTTGTGGGAGGTTGAGTATCTGTAGCCACAGGTCAGTGCAGGGTGTCATGTTGGGGGAGGTGGGGTATCTGTAGCCACAGGTCAGTGCAGGGTGTCATGTTGGAGGGAGGTGGAGTATCTGTAGGCACAGGTCAGTTCAGGGTGTCATGTTGGGGGAGGTGGAGTATCTGTAGCCACAGGTCAGTGCAGGGTGTCATGTTGGGGGGAGGTGGAGTATCTGTAGCCACAGGTCAGTGCAGGGTGTCATGTTGGGGGAGGTGGAGTATCTGTAGGCACAGGTTAGTGCAGGGTGTCATGTTGGGGGAGGTGGAGTATCTGTAGCCACAGATCAGTTCAGGGTGTCATGTTGGGGGGAGGTGGAGTATCTGTAGCCACAGGTCAGTGCAGGGTGTCATGTTGGGGGAGGTGGAGTATCTGTAGCCACAGGTCAGTGCAGGGTGTCATGTTGTGGGAGGTTGAGTATCTGTAGCCACAGGTCAGTGCAGGGTGTCATGTTGGGGGAGGTGGAGTATCTGTAGTCACAGGTGAGTGCAGGGTGTCATGTTGGGGAAGGTTGAGTATCTGTAGCCACAGGTCAGTGCAGGGTGTCATGTTGGGGGAGGTGGGGTATCTGTAGCCACAGGTCAGTTCAGGGTGTCATGTTGGGGGAGGTGGTGTATCTGTAGCCACAGGTCAGTGCAGGGTGTCATGTTGGGGGAGGTGGAGTATCTGTAGTCACAGGTTGGCTGTAGAGTTAATTAAATAGGGTGTTTCATTGAATAGGTAATTTAACCTGAGTTCTGTGTGGACTGATGATAGAATCATTTAGAATGTATTGAAATATTGAATTTTAAAGAGAATCTTTCTCATATTCATGTATGCATAATGTTGATGCTTTAAACTATTCAGAAAATTGCTTGTATTTTTCCAGTGAAGATATTGAGCATTTAACTGGAACACAAAAAAATTGGAATTATTTTTGCAGTATTGTTATGATATTACGTACTCAGTCTTCACTACAAAAAATATCCATAAAAGTATTCATGATCCCTTTCTCTTTTTGTTCAGCGTACATAATATGTATTCTCTTTTCCAGAAAGACTATCTTCACTGTCAACATCTGACATCCATAACGACAAGTCTGCCAATGCCAATCCAGGGGAGAGCACTCCAATTGGTAAACCCCCACCGCCACTTGAGAGACTGTTTTCTAGAGGAGCAGGGATGGGAAATATATCCCCCATTTCACGCAACAAAGCACCCCCCTTGGAGAGAATGTTTTCTCGGGGGGCGGGTATGGCCCCAGCCCCTCCTCCCTTAGAGAGGTTGTTCTCACGAGGTGCAATGGTGGAGAAGCCCCAGCCCGAGATGTTCTCTGGGGGTCAGGGCATGAGGGTGGAGAGACAGTTCAGTACATTGTCGTCAAGCAGCTCAGGAGACGGTGATGGAGGTAAGAAATACAATATGCACCCCATCTTTTTTTTTTTCTAAAATACTACTGAGTTTATCTTTGATCTGTAAGCGCCATAAGGTTTTTGTTGTTGTCCACAGTGTTATAAACATCGACAACCTGAGTCTTGTCAGGTGCATGGGTGGCCCTGTCGTCTTAGGCACCGCGATTCGCTATGCAGAGTTGGGCATGCCAGAAACCTGTGATTGTGGGTTCGAATCCCGGTTCGCCCCGATTATGTTTCAAGGTTTGTCAGCACCATACCAATGCTCGTGGGTTTAAACGAACTGGTAAACGTCTGAGACCTGCATCACCTCGGGCTTTCCTCCCACATTAAGCTGACACGCCGTGATATGACTGGAATAATGTTAAAATCGGCATTAAACCCAACTCACTCACTCACTCATCCTGAGTGTTGTCAGACATTCCTCCCACATTGAACCGGCTACCTTACTGTAACAGAAACACTGTTCATTGTAACATTTAACCCCTTCCCTGTTGAGGGTTTGCTTGATGCATGAGATATGGATCCCCGCACATGCAGTGCACAAGTCTCACCACTGTTGCACTGTAGAAAATCTTTTTGTGTGTTTAATTCATCCTATAAGTTCCCAGAATGTTATACCTCTGAACATCAGTCTGCAATTCAGGGTTTGGTCATTTATTACAGGTGGGCGCAGGCTGGCCAGTTGGATTGGTTTTGACAAATTGTGCTGACTTTTGTGTAGTCCACCCCACCCACCATAATACATTCTCAGTCCAAAAATACTAAATAATATTCAAATTTACAATTTATTTATTTTTCATGACCCCAACCCCCATAGTTGTGATAAATTTTGTCCCTTCTTCCACTCCCTCTTTTTAAATGACCCCTGCCCCATTCCTGAATCTGATCAGCCCACTACCACCCTATGATAAATGACCAGTCCCTAAAGCCAGCAGTCTAGTAAATTTTGTTCCATCTAGTAAGTTCAACTGATGATAGTCCATTTGTTAACAGGGGGCACGGGTGGCCGAGTCGTCTAAGGCGCCGCGATTCGCTGTGCAGAGTTGCGTCCCTTGGGCACGCCAGAAACCTATGATTGTGGGTTCGAATCCCGGTTCGCCCAGATTATGTTTCTAGGTTTGTCAGCACCATACCCGTGCTCGTGGGTTTCGCCGAAGTGGTAAACGTCTGAGACCTGCATCATTTCGGGCTTTCCTCCCACATTAAGCTGACACGCCGTGATATAACTGGAATAATGTTAAAAGCGGCGTTAAACCAAACTCACTCACTCACTCACTCACTCACTCACCATTTGTTAACATGAATATATGCTGAAAATGATGTTAAGAGCCAGGCAAGTAGACCCGAAAGTTTGACAGACAGGACCATTACTAATTTGGTGTGAATGATTTGTTAATTTTTACTTCTCAGAGGGGAAACTGATTGTTGCTGAGGAGAGAAGTACGGGAACTGTTTCAAAGGAAATATATCGCCAGTACATCCAAGACGGAGGAGGATATCTCGTCTGTTTCGGCGTGTTTCTCATCTTCTTCTTGTCCGTAGCCTCCCAGACCGGCGCAAACTGGTTTCTCTCCTTCTGGTTGAACCAGGGCAATGGTGTATGTACCTCTGATTACTGATCTGCATATTGCTGTAGCTGGGGGTGTAAAAGATGGGTGTGGGTGTGGATAGAGCATCTACCTAGAGACCGACTGCTTTTGTTGTGTAGTGAATAGTGAATACAGCGTCTGACCGAAGACTGTCTCTGTGGTGTAGTGAATAGAGCATCTGCCCAGAGGCCGCCTCTATGGTGTAGTGGATAGAGCGTCTGCCCGGAGACTGCCTCCATGGTGTTTTGGATAGAGCGTCTGCCCAGAGACTGCCTCCATGGTGTAGTGGATAGAGCATCTGCCCGGAGACTGCCTCCGTGGTGTAGTGGATAGAGCGTCTGCCCGGAGACTGCCTCCGTGGTGTAGTGGATAGAGCGTCTGCCCGGAGACTGCCTCCATGGTGTAGTGGATAGAGCATCTGCCCTGAGACTGCCTCCGTGGTGTAGTGGATAGAGCATCTGCCCGGAGACTGCCTCCGTGGTGTAGTGGATAGAGCGTCTGCCCGGAGACTGCCTCCGTGGTGTAGTGGATAGAGGGTCTGCCTGGAGACTGCCTTTCGTGGTGTGGTGGATAGAGCATCTGCCCGGAGACTGCCTCAGTGGTGTAGTGGATAGAGCGTCTACCCAGAGACTGCCTCCGTGGTGTTGTGGATAGAGCATCTACCCGGGGACTGCCTCTATGGTGTAGTGGATAGAGCATCTGCCCGGAGACTGCCTCCGTTGTGTAGTGGATAGAGCGTCTACCCAGAGACTGCCTCCGTGGTGTAGTGGATAGAGCATCTACCCGGGGACTGCCTCTATGGTGTAGTGGATAGAGCATCTGCCCGGAGACTGCCTCCGTAGTGTAGTGGATAGAGCATCTGCCCGGAGACTGCCTCCGTGGTGTAGTGGATAGAGTGTCTACCCTCGAGACTGCCTCCGTGGTGTAGTGGGTAGAATGTCTGCCTGGAGACTGCCTCCGTGGTGTAGTGGATAGAGCATCTGCCCAGAGACTGCCTCCATGGTGTAGTGGATAGAGCATCTGCCTGGAGGCTGCCTCCGTAGTGTAGTGGATAGAGCGTCTACCCGGAGACTGCCTCCGTGGTGAAGTGGATAGAGCGTCTGCCTGGAGACTGCCTCCGTGGTGTAGTGGGTAGAATGTCTACCCAGAGACTGCCTTCGTGGTGTAGTGGGTAGAGCATCTGCCTGGAGTCTGCCTCTATGGTGTAGTGGGTAGAGCATCTACCCAGAGACTGCCTCCGTGGTGTAGTGGATAGAGCATCTGCCCGGAGACTGCCTCCGTGGTGTAGTGGATAGAGCGTCTACCCAGAGACTGCCTCCGTGGTGTAGTGGATAGAGCATCTACCCGGGGACTGCCTCTATGGTGTAGTGGATAGAGCATCTGCCCGGAGACTGCCTCTGTGGTGTAGTGGATAGAGTGTCTACCCTCGAGACTGCCTCCGTGGTGTAGTGGGTAGAATGTCTGCCTGGAGACTGCCTCCGTGGTGTAGTGGATAGAGCATCTGCCCAGAGACTGCCTCCATGGTGTAGTGGATAGAGCATCTGCCCGGAGGCTGCCTCCGTAGTGTAGTGGATAGACGTCTGCCCGGAGACTGCCTTCGTGGTGTAGTGGGTAGAATGTCTACCCAGAGACTTCCTTCGTGGTGTAGTGGGTAGAGCATCTGCACGGAATCTGCCTCTATGGTGTAGTGGGTAGAGCATCTACCCAGAGACTGCCTCAGTGGTGTAGTGGATAGAGCATCTGCCCGGAGACTGCCTTTCGTGGTGTAGTGGATAGAGCGTCTGCCCAGAGACTGCCTCAGTGGTGTAGTGGATAGAGCATCTGCCCGGAGACTGCCTCCGTGGTGTAGTAGATAGAGCATCTGCCCGGAGACTGCCTCCGTGGTGTAGTGGATAGAGTGTCTACCCGGAGACTGCCTCCGTGGTGTAGTGGATAGAGCATCTGCCTGGAGACTGCCTCCGTGGTGTAGTAGATAGAGCGTCTGCCCGGAGACTGCCTCCTTGGTCTAGTGGATAGAGCATCTCCCCAGAGAGCTGAAGGCCTCTGAATCGATTCCCTGACTGCATCACACTATCCTCCGTGGTGTAGTGGATAGAGCATCTGCCCGGAGACTGCCTCCGTGGTGAAGTGGATAGAGCGTCTGCCTGGAGACTGCCTCCGTGGTGTAGTGGATAGAGCATCTGCCCGGAGACTGCCTTTCGTGGTGTAGTGGATAGAGCGTCTGCCCAGAGACTGCCTCCGTGGTGTAGTGGGTAGAGCATCTGCCCGGAGACTGCCTCCGTGGTGTAGTGGATAGAGCATCTGCCCGGAGACTGCCTCCGTGGTGTAGTGGATAGAGCATCTGCCCGGAGACTGCCTCCGTGGTGAAGTGGATAGAGCGTCTGCCTGGAGACTGCCTCCATGGTGTAGTGGATAGAGCGTCTACCCAGAGACTGCCTCCGTGGTGTAGTGGGTAGAGCGTCTGCCCAGAGACTGCCTCCGTGGTGTAGTGGATAGAGCGTCTGCCCAGAGACTGCCTCCGTGGTGTAGTGGATAGAGCGTCTGCCCGGAGACTGCCTCCGTGGTGTAGTGGATAGAGCGTCTGCCTGGAGACTGCCTCCGTGCTGTAGTGGATAGAGCGTCTACCCAGAGACTGCCTCCGTGGTGTAGTGGATAGAGCATCTGCCCGGAGACTGCCTTTCGTGGTGTAGTGGATAGAGCGTCTGCCCAGAGACTGCCTCAGTGGTGTAGTGGATAGAGCATCTGCCCGGAGACTGCCTCCGTGGTGTAGTGGATAGAGCATCTGCCCGGAGACTGCCTCCGTGGTGTAGTGGATAGAGTGTCTACCCGGAGACTGCCTCCGTGGTGTAGTGGATAGAGCATCTGCCTGGAGACTGCCTCCGTGGTGTAGTGGATAGAGCGTCTGCCCGGAGACTGCCTCCTTGGTCTAGTGGATAGAGCATCTCCCCAGAGAGCTGAAGGCCTCTGAATCGATTCCCTGACTGCATCACACTATCCTCCGTGGTGTAGTGGATAGAGCATCTGCCCGGAGACTGCCTCCGTGGTGAAGTGGATAGAGCGTCTGCCTGGAGACTGCCTCCGTGGTGTAGTGGATAGAGCATCTGCCCGGAGACTGCCTTTCGTGGTGTAGTGGATAGAGCGTCTGCCCAGAGACTGCCTCCGTGGTGTAGTGGATAGAGCATCTGCCCGGAGACTGCCTCCGTGGTGTAGTGGATAGAGCATCTGCCCGGAGACTGCCTCCGTGGTGTAGTGGATAGAGTGTCTACCCGGAGACTGCCTCCGTGGTGTAGTGGATAGAGCATCTGCCTGGAGACTGCCTCCGTGGTGTAGTGGATAGAGCGTCTGCCCGGAGACTGCCTCCTTGGTCTAGTGGATAGAGCATCTCCCCAGAGAGCTGAAGGCCTCTGAATCGATTCCCTGACTGCATCACACTATCCTCCGTGGTGTAGTGGATAGAGCATCTGCCCGGAGACTGCCTCCGTGGTGAAGTGGATAGAGCGTCTGCCTGGAGACTGCCTCCGTGGTGTAGTGGATAGAGCATCTGCCCGGAGACTGCCTTTCGTGGTGTAGTGGATAGAGCGTCTGCCCAGAGACTGCCTCCGTGGTGTAGTGGGTAGAGCATCTGCCCGGAGACTGCCTCCGTGGTGTAGTGGATAGAGCATCTGCCCGGAGACTGCCTCCGTGGTGTAGTGGATAGAGTGTCTGCCCGGAGACTGCCTCCGTGGTGTAGTGGATAGAGCATCTGCCTGGAGACTGCCTCCGTGGTGTAGTGGATAGAGCATCTGCCCGGAGACTGCCTCCGTGGTGAAGTGGATAGAGCGTCTGCCCAGAGACTGCCTCCATGGTGTAGTGGATAGAGCGTCTGCCCGGAGACTGCCTCCGTGGTGAAGTGGATAGAGCGTCTGCCTGGAGACTGCCTCCGTGGTGTAGTGGATAGAGCGTCTGCCCAGAGACTGCCTTCGTGGTGTAGTGGATAGAGCATCTGCCCGGAGACTGCCTCCGTGGTCTAGTGGATAGAGCATCTCCCCAGAGACTGCCTCCGTGGTGTAGTTGAAGGTTGGCGGTAACTGTTGTGAAACACTATGACACCAATTTTGTCAGAGCGATAACCAACTGAACTGTCCATGTTACAGAATTACACAATGGTCACCATCAACACTTTGACACCTGTTTTGTCAGAGCGATAACCAACTGAACTGTCCATGTTACAGAATAACACAGTGGTCACCATCAACACTATGACACCTATTTTGTCAGAGCAATAACCAACTGAACTGTCCATGTTACAGAATTACACAATGGTCACCATCAACACTTTGACACCTGTTTTGTCAGAGCGATAACCAACTGAACTGTCCATGTTACAGAATAACACAGTGGTCACCATCAACACTATGACACCTATTTTGTCAGAGCAATAACCAACTGAACTGTCCATGTTACAGAATAACACAATGGTCACCATCAACACTATGACACCTATTTTGTCAGAGCGATAACCAACTGTCCATGTTGCAGAATAACACAATGGTCACCATCAACACTATGACACCTATTTTGTCAGAGCGAAAACCAACTGTCCATGTTACAGAATAACACAATGGTCACCATCAACACTATGACACCTGTTTTGTCAGAGCGATAACCAACTAAACTGTCCATGTTACAGAATAACACAATGGTCACCATCAACACTATGACACCTGTTTTGTCAGAGCGATAACCAACTGAACTGTCCATGTTACAGAATAACACAATGATCACCATCAACACTATGACACCTATTTTGTCAGCGCGATAACCAACTGTCCATGTTGCAGAATAACACAATGGTCACCATCAACACTATGACACCTATTTTGTCAGCGCGATAACCAACTGTCCATGTTGCAGAATAACACAATGGTCACCATCAACACTATGACACCTGTTTTGTCAGAGCGATAACCAACTGTCCATGTTGCAGAATAACACAATGGTCACCATCAACACTATGACACCTATTTTGTCAGCGCGATAACCAACTGTCCATGTTACAGAATAACACAATGGTCACCATCAACACTATGACACCTGTTTTGTCAGAGCGATAACCAACTAAACTGTCCATGTTACAGAATAACACAATGGTCACCATCAACACTATGACACCTGTTTTGTCAGAGCGATAACCAACTGAACTGTCCATGTTACAGAATAACACAATGATCACCATCAACACTATGACACCTATTTTGTCAGCGCGATAACCAACTGTCCATGTTGCAGAATAACACAATGGTCACCATCAACACTATGACACCTATTTTGTCAGCGCGATAACCAACTGTCCATGTTGCAGAATAACACAATGGTCACCATCAACACTATGACACCTGTTTTGTCAGAGCGATAACCAACTGTCCATGTTGCAGAATAACACAATGGTCACCATCAACACTATGACACCTATTTTGTCAGCGCGATAACCAACTGTCCATGTTGCAGAATAACACAATGGTCACCATCAACACTATGACACCTGTTTTTGTCAGAGCGATAACCAACTGAACTGTCCATGTTACAGAATAACACAATGGTCACCATCAACACTATGACACCTGTTTTGTCAGAGCGATAACCAACTGAACTGTCCATGTTACAGAATAACACAATGATCACCATCAACACTTTGACACCTGTTTTGTCAGAGCGATAACCAACTGAACTGTCCATGTTACAGAATAACACAATGATCACCATCAACAATGCGACCATGTCCAGCAACAATGGGAACATCAGCGATCACCCGATGCGGAACACCTACACCCTCATCTATGGAATGTTTGTGGTCATGATGCTGGTGCTCACCTTCTGCCGGGCCTTTGTCTTCATGAAGGTAACAGTGAACTGTGCAGTACAACCTGTCCCGTGTCCTGTGTGTCTTAGCTGGAATATTTGCTGTCTGTGACTTATACCGTATTCGACGTAATAAGCGCCCAGGGCGCTCTCAAAATTAGAAATAGGGGGCTCTTATTAGAATATATAATTTTGGTGAAAAAAACCCAGTTAAAAGATCGTAAATTTCTACGTTTGTGTACCTGAAATGATACAAAAGAAGTCTGTGCGTATTATACACGACAGAAATATTTTTCCAAAATTTAATTGCCCTTAATTAAGGGCACATATAACACACGAGTGCGTTTTATACATGAATAATTAAGTCTTGTGTACATTGATCAATCGGAAGAGGTGTTAATTGGGATTGTTCACTAGCCAATATATTAGCAAATATCACCATGGGCGCTTACTGTAAATCGTGAAATTAATGCGTCTCCAAAAGAATGCGACCACTGGACCCTAGTCAAAAATGCGACTCAATATGAATGCGACACCCCCTCCTCTCAAGCATCAGTGGATTTCTATCTAAAGATGTCCTCAGTCAGGTTTAGAATCCTCACCTTAATCTAACCTTACATTAATCCAATCACGCACCAAATAGCACCGCTTATTTGCGCTGAGTAAAGTACTTCCGCAAAAGCAATACATGCGCGCTGGCTTGTGTCGGCCTTTGACACAGTCGCTAAGAACAAAGGGTGGCATCTGTCTAGACTTGCAGGTGTGATCAGTGATGACATAAGTGAGTAGAACTCTTGTCTTGACTCCAGCAGTGACAATTCACAGGATGTAATTAGTGTTTGAATGACATTTTTTATATACTTTATATACAAGTGCTGCTCAATAAACAGGGGTGTGGAATACGTCAGCGTATGTCTGAGTTGGTATTTCTGCTATCCCAAATGTCTTATTGTTGATATAAATGCGATGTTTAAAAATGTGAGCAAAGACCACTCGCTTTTTTCACATTTAATTCACGCTCACGTTAATTTCAAGATTGACAGTATTAAAGCGGGGTGCTTATTACGTCGTTTACGGTAACAATTTGCTGCGCTGATGTTTGCAGGCCACCCTGAAGGCTTCCAGCGGACTCCATGACCGCGCGTTCAAGAACATATTAGCCAGCCCGATGGAGTTCTTTGACACGACTCCCACGGGGCGGATCATCAACAGGTTCTCAGCCGACATGGACGAAGGTGAGGGGGAAGTTGTCGAGTTGACTTATTTAGATATCTATCTATTGAAGGGGGCACGGGTGGCCCAGTCGTCTAAGGCGCCGCGATTTGCTGTGCAGAGTTGCGTCCCTTGAACACGCCAGAAACCGATGATTGTTGGTTCGAAATCCCGGTTCGCCCTGATTATGTTTCTAGGTTTGTCAGCACAATACCCGTGCTCGTGGGTTTCACCGAAGTGGTAAACGTCTGAGACCTGCATCACTTCTGTCTTTACTCCCACATTAAGCTGACACGCCGTGATATAACTGGAATACTGTTAAAAGCGGCGTTAAACCAACTCACTCACTATCTATTGAACCCTTAACATTCAAGGGACTTGCCTGCTCCACTTGTCTAAGGTGGAGCAATTATCTCATAAGAGTTGTATCCTTTGGACATGCCAAGATCCTTTAATCCTGGGTTCGAATTAATTAGCTTCAGGAGAAATCCTAGCTAGGAGCAAGTCTGTGATGAGATGTTGACCATATGTTTGTACTGTCTTTGCCTCAATCTCTTTAAAATATCAGGGGGCACGGGGGGCCCAGTCGTCTAAGGCGCCGCGATTCGCTGTGCGGGGTTGCGTCCCTTGAGCACACCAGAAACTATGATTGTGGGTTCGAATCCTGGTTTGCCCCAATTATGTTTCTAGGTTTGTCAGCACCATACACGTGCTTGTGGGTTTCCCTGTAGTGGTAAACGTCTTAGACCTGCATTTCTTCGGGCTTTCCTCCCACATTAAGCTGACATGCCGTGATATAACTGGAATAATGTTAAAAGCGCGTTAAACCCAACTCACTCACTCACTCACTCACTCACTTAAAATATCAGCTTGCTCAGACTGATAACCTCATCGACACCCTTTGATGTACTATTTAATAGGGCCGCAACGAATACACTATGAGGCGAATACGAATCATATCATGAATATAGGAATACGAATACGAATATTTATTCACGAATACAATAACAAGTCAAGAGTTGATGTATTATTTATGATATTGAGTGAATTATTTAACATCGTTTTTTAATTAATAATTTATTATACATTTAAATACTGCACTTATCCAGGTACTAGTATCTGCTCAAATGCTACAATGACCAGTGACCACAATAAGCCAAATTAAATATAAAAGAGTGTTGTCTTTGAAGAAATCTATGCATATAATATGTTCTTATTGATATTTTAAGGGTCAGGGTATGTGAATGCACATGACTGCATATTCATAAATATTCAATTCTAGTCACTATGATTAACGAATTCAATTCATGAATTGATATGGTCGATTCACCGAATACGCGAGTAAGTCGTAACAGCCCTACTATTTAATTCGTAAAAAAGCAACTATGCTTGTGGTAAGAGGTGACTAATGGATCGGGGGGTCAGACTTGCTGACTTGGTTGATGCATGTCATCGTATCCCAAGTGATGCTCATGATGTCAATCACTGGATTGTCTTGACCAGACTTGATTATTTGCAAAACGCCGTCATATAGCTGGAATATTGCTAAGTGCGGCGTTAAACAACAAACAAACAAACTATTTAATTTGTGCTGACCAGAACATGAAGTGTTGGAAAGAAAGAACATTGTTCTCTGTCACATGAACACTTTAATATTATTCATATTTCATGATAATCTTCAAGGGTTTTTCCTGATTTCATTAAGTCTACAGGTCATGTGGGCCAAAATGATCACTAATCATACCGTGTGATTTTACATGTAAGGGGGATAACATTCTTAAAAACTGGTGCTGTTCAAGTGATCGTACCTTGTTTCCAGTTTGATTGAAATAGGTTTTTTCAAGGTGTCAGTGCTTTTGACCCAGTACTGTCTGTGGGGGGCACGGGTGGCCCAGTCGTCTAAGGCGCCGGGATTCGCTGTGCAGAGTCGCGTCCCTTGGGCACGCCAGAAACCTATGATTGTGGGTTCGAATCCCGGTTCGCCCCGATTATGTTTCTAGGTTTGTCAGCACCATACCCGTGCTCGTGGGTTTCACCGAAGTGGTAAACGTCCGAGACCTGCATCACTTCGGGTTTTCCTCCCACATTAAGCTGACACGCCGTGACACGCTGTCAAAAGCGGCGTTAAACCCAACTCACTCACTCACTCACTCAGTACTGTCTGTGAGGTATGTATTCTGTTAAATGAGGGGTGGTCGGGTAGCCTAGTGGTTAAAGCGTTCGCTCCTCACGCCGAAGACCCAGGTTCGATTCCCGACATGGGTACATTGTGTGAAGCCCATTTCTGGTGTCCCCCGCCGTGATATTGCTGGAATATTGCTAAAAGGGGCATAAAACCATACTCACTCACTTACTCTGTTAAATGAACTGTCCCTGTCTAAGAAACGGTGTCTGTAAATGTTTTCAGAAATGTGTCTGTATCAAACAGCAGTTGAATGACTTGCCAAACAAGATAGACACATAAAAAGTTGATGCTCATAATATCGACGACTTTTTTACTCCAGATTGTATTATTTAAAGGCTGCAGAAATTTTGCTGAAATAAACTAAATTAAGCAAAATAAATTTACTTACCACCCCTAAAGATCTGGGTTGGAATACCATGGTATGTCTTCAGCAACCTATGCTTGCTGTGAAAGGCGACTGCTTGTCGTAAGAGGCAACTAACGGGATCGGGTGGTCAGGGTCGCAGGGTTGCGTGGATCGATGCTCGTGATATCAATCACTGGATTGTCTGGTCCAGATTCGATTATTTACAGACCGCAGCCATATAGGTGGAATATTGCTGAGTGCGGCATTTAACAACAAACAAACAAATAATAAGGTCACAGTGCTATTTTGTTGGAAGGGTTACGAAGTCATTATTTACGGCCATGCACTGTTATTAGTCGGCTCTTATGCCAAATTGAGTGCCAACTTGCTGACATTATTACCTTGACATGTTACAGTGGACATCCGGCTCCCCATGCAGGCTGAAGTGTTCATCACCAACGTACTGCAGGTTTTCTTCTCGCTCCTGATGATCTGCTACATGTCGGCCTGGTTTCTGGTTGCCATGATACCGCTCGTCGCGTTGTTTGCGTGTCTCTTCGTGATGTTTGTTCGCTGTGCACGCAACTTGAAGCGTCTGGATGCTGTGACAAAGTCTCCGCTGGTCAGCCACATCACCGCCTCCGTCCAGGGCATCACCACCATACATGCATACGGCAAGATGGAGGAATTCGTGGCAACGTAAGTTCGTAATTCCTTGTTTTAGACTAAAGGGCACTGTTATAATAATGGACCAGGGTTGAAAATGCCTGAAGTTGATCATGTCCGATGAAAAAAGCTTAACTGGCTCGGAGTCAGTATACTGTGTCTGAGTGAGTTATTCATGTTAATCTGCTGCATGGTATGTAAGTGGGCTAGTACTGTAAAACTGGCATTAGTCGGGACTAGTACAAACAGACACACACACACACACACACACACACACACACACACACACACACAAAACAGACACAGCTAATGGATGCACATGCAAAAGTGCAATAATCCTGAACGCGATGTTAAGCCCCATCTCACCTCTCCTCAGGTTGTGAAGCTGATAATTTCTCTTGGTGTTAAACCTTGATCTGGATGAGATAACTGCTGTTTTACCATCGAAGTGCTGGAAAAGTAAATCAAATTGGTCTAGATGTGACGAAATTGCCGCTGAAAATTGATTGAGTTTCAATGCATTGTGTACAAAAGAAAGACTGTCTCCAGTTCATTGCTGGTGTTGTGAGATTGCGCATCGTATTTATTACTGCATATAGTTTTGGTTTAGACTTTATAGTGAGCTGCATTTGACTCTCGTTCTCCATAGGGCGGTCGGGTAGCATTGTGGTTAATGCGTTCACTCAACGCGCCAAGACCAATACAATACTTACTCACTCTCATTCTCCCTGAATACGTAACTAGGTCAAGTATGTTATTTCAACCAGAATGTTATATCAACCAGAATGTTATATCTACCAGAATGTTATATCATGACAGAATGTTATATCATGACAAAATGTTATATCATGACATAATGTTATATCATGACAAAATGTTATATCAACCAGAATGTTTTATCATGACAGAATATTATATCATGACGGAATGTTATATCATGACAGAATGTTATATCATGACAAAATGTTATATCATGACATAATGTTATATCAACCAGAATATTATATCGACCAGAATGGTATATCATGACAGAATGTTATATCAACCAGAATGTTATATGACAGAATTTATATCAAACAGAATGTTATATCATGACAGAATGTTTTATTAACCAGAATGTTATATCAACCAGAATGTTATATCATGATAGAATGTTATATCATGACAGAATGTTATATCAACCAGAATGTTATATCATGACAAAATCTTATATCAACCAGAATGTTATCATGAATGTTATATCAACCAGCATATTATATCAACCAGAATGTTATATCATGACAGAATGTTTTATCAACCAGAATATTATATCAACCAGAATGTTATATCAACCAGAAAGTTATATCAACCAGAATGTTATATCATGACAGAATGTTTTATTAACCAGAATGTTATATCAACCAGAATGTTATATCATGACCGAATCAGGGCCGAAAGTTAGCTTCAGTATTTTGTGTTATGATTATATTGCTAAAACTCAGTTTAATGTGCTAAACATAACCTGCTTGGAGCTATTGTTCATTCAGATGTATGTTTGGATGAATATAAGTGGTCCTTCAAAACAAATGTTCTTCTTTGAAACGTGCTTAAAACGTGCTTGAATTCAGAGTCCAAAGACCTGAGTGAATCCTGGGACCATTTAGAATAAGTTCCTGATAGTCACGCTTAGGAATGATGTCTTTAAAGAATACATTGTGGTGTCCATCGAAAGACGTTACCCTGTCTGGCACTCGGCATTAAGGGTCTTAATCAAGAACTGCCTGGCTCGGAGTCAGTATACTGTGTCTGAGTGAGGTATTCATGTTCAACTGCTGCATGGTATATCAGTGGGCTAGTGCTGTGAAACTGGCATTAGTCTGGACTAGTACAAACACACACACACACACACACACACACACACACACACACACACACACACACACACACACACACAGACACACACACAGACACACAGACACAGACAGACAGACAGACAGACAGACACAGCTATGGATGCACATGCAAAAGTGCAATAATCCTGAACGCGACGTTAAGCCCCATCTCAGCTCTCCTCAGGTTGTGAAGCTGATAATTTCTCTTGGTGTTAAACCTTGATCTGGATGAGATTTGTAGAAAATTGTGAAACACTCAAAGTATCAATATTTTATTATGATTGTGTCAATTTCCTTTTCAGGTTCCAGAAACTGCTGGATACCAATTCTGTCCCTTTCTTCATCTTCTACTCAGCGAGTCGCTGGTTGTCTGTGCGTCTTGATCTCCTGTGCGTCTGCATCAGCGGTACAACGGGCCTCATTATTGTCTTCAACTACGACAACATCACCCCAGCCGTCGCTGGACTCGCTCTTGCCTTTGCTGTGCAGGTCAGGCCACAGGTTTTCATCACTTTTTGTAAAAGTCTGTGTTTATATTTATTTTTAATTTTTTAATTTTTGATATTTTTAATTAAAGGCCACGTTTTCATCGCCTTAAAACAAAAATTGGGTATTTTTGTCGAATTTTGATTTATTTTGATTTTGACTTTTTGATATGTTTACATGTTTTCATCACTTTAAGAATTATTGTTTTTTATTTCCCAATCACTACGCATTTATACTAAATGGAAATGGATGCCCCTTCAAGTTCTGTCCAAAAATCTTTCCTGATTTTATAGTATCACAAACAACATCGCCGGTTTTCATGATGGCAGAAAATGCAGGAAGCAAAGTAAAGGAATATAATACAAAGCAGCTTTGGGGTCTGCTTTTAGTATTGGTTGATGATGAGAAACAGATTGTTTGTTTGTTTGTGACCTAACATGCCCTCTCCCATAGATTTACATGTGTGCATATTTTCAATTAATACATTAAATGACAGAAAGTAAAGAAAAGAAATAGAGAAATGTATGCCGCAATTTGTTTCTAGCTGATTTAAAAAAAGGACATTCAATGAAAAATTATATGAATTTTCACATGGGCTGCCACATCAGACCTGTATCAGCTGACACTGCGAGATGGAACTGAAATGCTGTTCAAACTGGTGTTGGGGGGCACGGGTGGCCCAGTCGTCTAAGGCGCCACAATTCGCTGTGCAGAGTTGCGTCCCCTGGGCACGCCAGAAACCTATGATTGTGGGCTCGAATCCCGGTTCGCCCTGATTATGTTTCTAGGTTTGTCAGCACCATACCTGTGCACGTGGGTTTCACCGAAGTGGTAACCGTCTGAGACCTGCATCACTTGGGGCTTTCCTCCCACATTAAGCTGACACGCTGTGATATAACTGGAATACTGTTAAAAGCGGCGTTAAACCAAACTCACTCACTCACTCACTCACTCAAACTGGTGTTAAACTGAACTCACTCCCTGTCCTTGAACATCCCAAAGTCTAAGGGAGATGGACTTTGAGCTTGTCCTCATGCAGCTCCAGGTGACCGGAACAGCCTCCCAAATCAGATCCAAGCTGACAAGTCTTAATGCTTCATTCAAGAACATCAAGATATGTGAAAGGCATTTAGAAGAGATACACAAAAGGAAGACAATTTATGGATGTCAACTTGACATCCATATGTTGTCTTCCTTATCTCTTTTCAAGGAGCACTATGTCAGATATTTTTAACTCATCTGTACATGCATAGACCTCTAGTATGGACTGAAAACCTGCAGCTATGTTCCCTTAATTTAGCAGTAACATTTCTGGTTAGCGCAGCCGTGGTAAGGGTGTATTGGGGTCGGGGGGCCTCAGATATTTCTACCTCTCACACGCATACATCTTGTATTGCAGTTCACAGTCTAGCTGATAAGCGATAACCAGCAGTGCACCAGCACTGTGTGGAAGAACTGCTATACAAGTGATGATGATGATGATGATGATGATGATGATGATGATGATTATGATGATTATTATTATGTTGATGATGATAATGAACTGCTATAAGTGATGATGATGGTGATGATGATGATGATGATGATGATTTTTATGTTGATGATGATAATGAACTGCTATAAGTGATGATGATGATGATGATGATGGTGATGGTGATGATGATGATGATGATGATGGTTTTGTTGTTATTATTGTTATTATTGTTATAATTATCCTTGTACACTGCTATATTTTCAGATGGCTGGACTGTTCCAGTTCACAGTGAGGCTTGCTATAGAGACAGAATCTCGCTTCACCAGTGTACAGAGAATACAGGAGTATGCCAAGGTGGGACTCTCGTTACAGCTAGTAGATGACATTGATTAGGAATCAATGACCGCCCGATTAGTCTTGTTAATGAAGGCTTATCTCTGCTCTGAGAGTGCTCCATTTTATTACTCAAATTAAAGGACCAGTGTGTACACATCATCCATTCTCAGCATCCATTGTTCGCATTTCGCAAACCTCATTGAAATCAGATCGTTTACTCCGATACCTCTCTGCTTGACAATCTGTGGAGACACCCATAAAACTCCTTTGGAGAACTCTCTTGTAAGCCAATCAGAGTGGAGAGATTGAGATTGCGTAGTACCCTCATGATACTGTGCATTCCGGTGGGGAAACAGGGAAGGGGACGCACAACTGTAATCCCTTTCTGGATCCCCGTGAGGATGTTTGTTTGTTTGTTGTTTAATGCCACACTCAGCAATATTCCAGCTATATGATTGCGGTCAGTAAATAATCGGGTCTGGACCAAACAATCCAGTGATTAACATCATGAGCATCGATCCACGCAAGTGGGATGGATGACATGCTTCAACCAAGTCAGCGAGACTGACCACCCCATCCCATTAGTCGCCTCTTACGAAAAGCATAGTCGCCTTTAACAGCAAGCATGGGTTGCTGAAAATCTGCACGGGTCCTACGCAATTGAGATAAGATGACAGCATCACCCAAGTCAGTGAGTCTGACCACCTGATCCTGTTAGTTGCCTCCTAAGACAAGCATTGTTGTCTTTTAAGGCAAGCAAAACTGGATTGAGTGGTCAGGCTCTTTATTTTGATTGATTATGTCACACTTGTCAGTGGTGTCTGATACTTCACAGGGGGGGTCGGGTAGCCCAGTGGTTAAAACGTTCGCTCGTCATGCCGAAGAACCGGGTTCGATTCCCGACATGGGTACAATGTGTGAAGCCCATTTCTGGTGTCCCCCGCCGTGATATTGCTGGAATATTGCTAAAAGGGGCGTAAAACCATATTCACTCACTCACTCACTGATACTTCACATCATATCAATTGCTTCCATGTAAGGTCCACTCGCCATTATTTACTCACCGTTGTCATTCAACTGGAGTAGCACTCACTCAAACTAGACTGACTCATATTGAAAACGCATATGTGTTTTCAAGCATCAGACATGATGTTTTGGTGGTCAAATTCATCACGGAACACATCGAATGAAATTCAAACCCAAACGATGACATTGTTGTTTAATTATCTCATGCTTAAATACACACAACTTAATTTGATATTTGTTGCCATTTTGCCAAATATTGCAAAACATTGAATATGCTTTTTTAAAGTGTTTCAGTATCTGTTGGAAAGTCATTGTTTGAAAAAAACAACCAAACACTCTCACCTATTTTGTGCTCAATCAACAGTTTAAACAACAATGCTTATTTTGATTTTCTCCTATCAACCCTATTTCTGGTGGATAACCAAGTAATTTCCTGACAGGATACATCAGAAGAAGATCTCATCACTGTGTCGGACACCGAGCCCCCCGCTGATTGGCCAGCAGATGGCAGGATTGTGTACAACCGAGTTCGGATGCGATATCGAGAGGGAATGCCTTTAGCCCTTAAAGGTGTCACATTCTCTGTGGAGCCTCAGGAAAAGATAGGCATTGTAGGAAGATCAGGCTCAGGTAAACCATGTCAGGAATAGAACCTGGACTTGTATCATTGTTGAAGTGGTTATGCAAGTTTGCGTATGCAGTCTGCAACTTAAACCATTTAGCCCAAAGCCCAGGTCAAGTAATGTTTTGTTGTTTTTTTTAAGCTGAGCTTGTAAAAGTCCATATATCAACACAGATATCAACGCCAGATGACGCCAAGAGGCAATAGTTGAAGCCAAAGATTTTGGCACAAACTGTTTTTTCTGTTTTGGTTTTGAAAGTTTCCCTGTAGGTAATATGGATAAATTTATTTTTGAGGATATGAATTTTGGAAAGTAAATAATTTCCAAGATTGGAAAGTAATGTGTTTTTGGTATTTTACCTTCAAGGGTGCTTAGTTTCAAATCTTAGATCAATCCCCAGCCAAAAAGCAACAAACTTGTAAACAATTATTTTGAGGGCTAATATTTGACAAGAATGTTGTTCGTCTGTATGCTCAAATCAAAGTGTTTTTAAATAATTTTACATGTTTTGATGTATTAACAGGATACTGTAATGTTCTGGCTTTCTCCTCAGGGAAGTCCTCTCTAGGGGTGGCGTTGTTCCGTCTTGTGGAGGCAGCATCCGGGACAATTGTCATCGATGGCATCGACATCAGCAAGGTGTCCCACTATAATCTGAGGTCCAAGCTGGCCATAATCCCACAGGACCCTGTACTCTTTGTTGGAACAGTCAGGTGATTATCTCCCCTTCTTATCCAGCTGTCTCTCCTTCCTTTCCAGGTACCTCCTCTTCATATCCAGTTATCTCCCATTCCTATCCAGTTGCCTCCCTTTCAAATTCAGTTATCTCCCATTCCTATCCAGTCATCTCCCATCCCTATCCAGTTACCTCCCTTTCAAATTCAGTTATCTCCAATTCCTATCCAGTTATCTCCCATTCCTATCCAGTTATCTCCCATTCCTATCCAGTTACCTCCCTTTCAAATACAGTTATCTTCCATTCCTGTACAGTTGCCTCCCTTTCAAATTCAGTTATCTCCCATTCCTATCCAGTTATCTCCCATTCCTATCCAGTTATCTCCCATTCCTATCCAGTTATCTCCCATTCCTATCCAGTTACCTCCCTTTCAAATACAGTTATCTCCCATTCCTATCCAGTTGCTTCCCTTTCAAATTCAGTTATCTCCCATTCCTATCCAGTTATCTCCCATTCATATCCAGTTATCTCCCATTCCTATCCAGTTATCTCCCATTCCTATCCAGTTACCTCCCTTTCAAATACAGTTATCTCCCATTCCTATCCAGTTGCCTCCCTTCAAATTCAGTTATCTCCCATTCCTATCCAGTCATCTCCCATCCCTATCCAGTTACCTCCTCTTCATATCCAGTTATCTCCCATTTCTATCCAGTTATTTCCCATTCCTATCCAGTTATTTCCCATCCCTATCCACTTACCTCCCTTTCAAATTCAGTTATCTCCCATTCCTATCCAGTTATTTTCCATTCCTATCCAGTTATCTCCCTCCTATCCAGTTATCTACCTTCATATCCAGTTATCTCCCTTCATATCAAGTTATCTCCCTCCTATCCAGTTATCTACCTTCATATCCAGTTATCTTTCTTCATATCCAGTTATCTCCCCTTAGTCTCACCACACTGAATACACACGACAGCTTTGAGGTGTAGTTTCTATGCTAAGGCCTTGTTCCATCGAAAAGCTAAACATGTGAGTGCTCAGACCAATTAACACACAACTTATAGCTGCATTGATCTGCTCAGCCCAGCTACATCTATGGGGAACAACTTACTAGACAAATTCCCCCAAAACATAACGTCGTCCAATATATGACGTGATCTTCGGAATGACGTCATGACAGAGCAATGTTTTATCGTGAAATATTCATTATTCATCGCGGGTTATCGTGTAGCTATCTTATGTTTGCAGATATAATCTGGACCCGTTCAGTGAGCATGCGGAGGTTTCCCTGTGGGATGCCCTTAAGAAGTGCCATGTAAAAGACACGGTGAGCTATGACCATACCTTTAAATATACTGAACAGCAAAAGAAACGTCACCCCAAGTAACATTGCATGAAAAGTTGTCATTTGAATTTCTGGGTTATTTTTGTCAAAGTTTCTAATATTTAACATTACCTTGTCTGGAAAAATGAAATTTGATGATAAAAAACAAAGCAGATGACAATAAAACCAATCACCCAAATGCATCATGGCAATGGCCATGGTAACCTGATGCACGTGAGTTCCATGCAAATCAAAATGCACATGCGTTCCCCCATTTCCTGCCCTATAAAAATCCACCCAGGTCGGATAACATGAATTCGTTATTGAATTGCTACCACATGCCAAGATTGACAAGAAATCAGCGACACCAAGCCCTTGGACGATTGCAAGCTGGACAAACCACCTGGCAAGTAGCCAATGCATTTCAAATCCACGTAAGGACCATATACAGGCTCCAGCAATGGTACCAGACCACCAACACTACAGATGACCGACCACGTAGTGAAAGACCAAGGGTCACTACCCGACGTCAGGATTGTCAGATTGTGCGACAGCATCTTCAAGATCGCTTTGTTACTGCTGCTGAAACTGCTCGAAGACCATGGGGACACCCCAGTGACACATTAGTGCGGACACTGTGCGTCGACGCTTGACGAGCAGACACCTCCACTGTCACAGGCCACACCGAGGACTCATTCTGACACCACGTCATCGCCGGGACCGTCTTCAGTGGGCAACACAGCACCAGCATTGGTGCCACCAGCAGTGGAGAAGAGTCCTCTTCTCAGAAGAGAGCCGTTACTGTATCTCAACAGCAGATGGCAGAGAGAGAGTCTGGCGACGCTGTGGGGAACGTTATTCAAATGCTTGTATTGTTGAGAGAGACTCGTGGGGTGGTCCGAGCATCATAGTGTAGGGTGAAATTGGTCTTGCACAGAAGGTCGGTCTACCAGAACATCGGTCCAGGGAGAGGCAATGGTGTCACAGCAGCTCGGTACAGTGATCAAGTCTTGAGACCACACGCCATACCTCATTTGGCACATTGCCGCAGTTTCAGCATGATAACGCCCATGCCCACACTGCGAGAGCAACAAGAGACTTATTCCAGCAGAATGGCATCAGAACCATGCAGTGGCCTGCCCTCAGTCCCGATTTAAATCCCATTGAGCACCTGTGGGACAAGATTCAAAGACGGCTGAATGACGTCCGACCAAGGTCGACAACTGCAGCTAAACTGAGTCAGGCATTCCTCAGAGTGTGGGCTCAAGTGCCTTTGGCCTTCATCCATTCCATGTATCGACGTTGCATGGCAGTCATCAATGCACATGGCGGACACACAAGATACTGACAAGTGATGCCATTTTCTCAGAGACTAGTGTTGTATTTCGATTTAAGAACAATTGACACTTTACTTTCAACCTTGATGATCAGTTTTGCCAAGTTTCATCTTTGATATGTTTCAAATTATGTTTACAGTCTTTGAACAAATAAGGTTTCTCATATCCATGGTGACGTTCCTTTTGCGGTTCAGTAGGCTGGGGGACACCTAAAATGGACATCAACATTCTACCCATGTTGGGAATTGAACCTGCGCCAATGTTATACCCGTTAGCCTGCCCACCACCTCAAGCAGAGATGCTAACCATTACGCTTGTGGTAGTGAATACCTGTTTTGTAAAATAAGTTATTGGCTGACAATGTTATGCATCTATTTTTCAATTGGCTGTAATGGAGGGGCTCAAAATCCAATGTTCGTAACAAGATGGCACCTGATCGGCTTGCTTGGCGAGGCATTATTGCTATGAAATTAACAAGACATGGTTATTTGACCATCCTAGTGTTAACAGAAATACATGTTCTGAAAGATATTAAGGATTAATTTTAGTGTATCGGGATGTGAAAAACGTCTTAGGGGCTCGAAAACACATAACACAAGGATCACTAAAGAATTGAGACTGATCTTTCATAGTGGAAAATATGTTGAAGATGTGTTTGTTTCACATGCATGAGTCAGTTATGTATTTATTCTCTGGACAATACAGATAGCTGGCCTGGATGACAAACTGGATGCCATGGTTGTGGAAAATGGAGAAAACTTCTCAGTAGGAGAAAGACAACTTCTCTGTCTGGCTCGTGCGCTGCTGAGACACAGCAAGGTAAGAGACACCACAGAGACAGGGGTGTGTTGGATGTGGAGGGGAGACACAGAGATAGGGGTGTGTTGGATGTGGAGGGGAGACACCACAGAGATAGGGGTGTGTTGGATGTGGGGGGGAGACACAGAGATAGGGGTGTGTTGGATGTGGGGGGGAGACACCACAGAGATAGGGGTGTGTTGGATGTGGGGGGGAGACACAGAGACAGGGGTGTGTTGGATGTGGAGGGGAGACACAGAGATAGGGGTGTGTTGGATGTGGGGGGGAGACACCACAGAGATAGGGGTGTGTTGGATGTGGAGGGGAGACACAGAGATAGGGGTGTGTTGGATGTGGGGGGGAGACACCACAGAGATAGGGGTGTGTTGGATGTGGGGGGGAGACACAGAGACAGGGGTGTGTTGGATGTGGAGGGGAGACACAGAGATAGGGGTGTGTTGGATGTGGGGGGGAGACACCACAGAGATAGGGGTGTGTTGGATGTGGGGGGGAGACACAGAGACAGGGGTGTGTTGGATGTGGGGGGGAGACACAGAGATAGGGGTGTGTTGGATGTGGGGGGGAGACACAGAGACAGGGGTGTGTTGGATGTGGAGGGGAGACACCACAGAGATAGGGGTGTGTTGGATGTGGGGGGGAGACACAGAGACAGGGGTGTGTTGGATGTGGGGGGGAGACACAGAGACAGGGGTGTGTTGGATGTGGGGGGGAGACACAGAGATAGGGGTGTGTTGGATGTGGAGGGGAGACACAGAGATAGGGGTGTGTTGGATGTGGGGGGGAGACACAGAGATAGGGGTGTGTTGGATGTGGGGGGGAGACACAGAGATAGGGGTGTGTTGGATGTGGGGGGGAGACACAGAGATAGGGGAGTGTTGGATGTGGAGGGGAGACACAGAGATAGGGGTGTGTTGGATGTGGGGGGGAGACACAGAGATAGGGGTGTGTTGGATGTGGAGGGGGAGACACAGAGATAGGGGTGTGTTGGATGTGGGGGGGAGACACAGAGATAGGGGTGTGTTGGATGTGGGGGGGGAGACACCACAGAGATAGGGGAGTGTTGGATGTGGGGGGGGAGACACAGAGATAGGGGAGTGTTGGATGTGGAGGGGAGACACAGAGATAGGGGTGTGTTGGATGTGGGGGGGAGACACAGAGATAGGGGTGTGTTGGATGTGGGGGGGGAGACACCACAGAGATAGGGGAGTGTTGGATGTGGGGGGGGAGACACAGAGATAGGGGAGTGTTGGATGTGGGGGGGGGAGGCACAGAGATAGGGGTGTGTTGGATGTGGGGGGGAGACACAGAGATAGGGGTGTGTTGGATGTGGAGGGGAGACACAGAGATAGGGGTGTGTTGGATGTGGAGGGGAGACACAGAGATAGGGGAGTGTTGGATGTGGAGGGGAGACACAGAGATAGGGGAGTGTTGGATGTGGGGGGGAGGCACAGAGATAGGGGAGTGTTGGATGTGGAGGGGAGACACAGAGACAGGGGAGTGTTGGATGTGGAGGGGAGACACAGCGATAGGGGAGTGTTGGATGTGGAGGGGAGACACAGAGACAGGGGTGTGTTGGATGTGGGGGGGAGACACCACAGAGATAGGGGAGTGTTGGATGTGGAGGGGAGACACAGAGATAGGGGTGTGTTGGATGTGGGGGGGAGACACAGAGATAGGGGTGTGTTGGATGTGGGGGGGAGACACAGAGATAGGGGTGTGTTGGATGTGGGGGGGAGACACAGAGATAGGGGAGTGTTGGATGTGGGGGGGAGACACAGAGATAGGGGAGTGTTGGATGTGGGGGGGAGACACAGAGATAGGGGTGTGTTGGATGTGGAGGGGAGACACAGAGACAGGGGTGTGTTGGATGTGGAGGGGAGACACAGAGATAGGGGAGAGTTGGATGTGGAGGGGAGACACAGAGATAGGGGAGAGTTGGATGTGGGGGGGAGACACAGAGATAGGGGTGTGTTGGATGTGGGGGGGGGAGACACAGAGATAGGGGTGTGTTGGATGTGGAGGGGAGACACAGAGATAGGGGAGTGTTGGATGTGGGGGGGAGACACAGAGATAGGGGAGTGTTGGATGTGGGGGGGAGACACAGAGATAGGGGTGTGTTGGATGTGGGGGGGGGAGACACAGAGATAGGGGTGTGTTGGATGTGGAGGGGAGACACCACAGAGATAGGGGTGTGTTGGATGTGGGGGGGAGACACAGAGATAGGGGTGTGTTGGATGTGGAGGGGAGACACAGAGATAGGGGAGTGTTGGATGTGGGGGGGGGAGACACAGAGATAGGGGTGTGTTGGATGTGGAGGGGAGACACAGAGATAGGGGTGTGTTGGATGTGGAGGGGAGACACCACAGAGATAGGGGAGTGTTGGATGTGGAGGGGAGACACAGAGATAGGGGAGTGTTGGATGTGGAGGGGAGACACCACAGAGATAGGGGTGTGTTGGATGTGGAGGGGAGACACCACAGAGATAGGGGAGTGTTGGATGTGGAGGGGAGACACAGAGATAGGGGAGTGTTGTATGTGGAGGGGAGACACCACAGAGATAGGGGTGTGTTGGATGTGGAGGGGAGACACAGAGATAGGGGCGTGTTGGATGTGGAGGGGAGACACCACAGAGATAGGGGTGTGTTGGATGTGGAGGGGAGACACAGAGATAGGGGTGTGTTGGATGTGGAGGGGAGACACCACAGAGATAGGGGTGTGTTGGATGTGGAGGGGAGACACAGAGATAGGGGTGTGTTGGATGTGGGGGGGAGACACAGAGATAGGGGTGTGTTGGATGTGGGGGGGAGACACAGAGATAGGGGAGTGTTGGATGTGGGGGGGAGACACAGAGATAGGGGTGTGTTGGATGTGGCGGGGAGACACAGAGATAGGGGTGTGTTGGATGTGGGGGGGAGACACAGAGATAGGGGTGTGTTGGATGTGGAGGGGAGACACAGAGATAGGGGAGTGTTGGATGTGGAGGGGAGACACAGAGATAGGGGTGTGTTGGATGTGGAGGGGAGACACAGAGATAGGGGAGTGTTGGATGTGGAGGGGAGACACAGAGATAGGGGAGTGTTGGATGTGGGGGGGAGACACAGAGACAGGGGTGTGTTGGATGTGGCGGGGAGACACAGCGATAGGGGAGTGTTGGATGTGGAGGGGAGACACAGAGATAGGGGAGTGTTGGATGTGGAGGGGAGACACAGAGATAGGGGAGTGTTGGATGTGGGGGGGAGACACAGAGACAGGGGTGTGTTGGATGTGGAGGGGAGACACAGAGATAGGGGTGTGTTGGATGTGGAGGGGAGACACAGAGATAGGGGAGTGTTGGATGTGGGGGGGAGACACAGAGACAGGGGTGTGTTGGATGTGGCGGGGAGACACAGCGATAGGGGAGTGTTGGATGTGGAGGGGAGACACAGAGATAGGGGAGTGTTGGATGTGGAGGGGAGACACAGAGATAGGGGAGTGTTGGATGTGGAGGGGAGACACCACAGAGATAGGGGTGTGTTGGATGTGGAGGGGAGACACCACAGAGACAGGGGTGTGTTGGATGTGGAGGGGAGACACAGAGATAGGGGAGTGTTGGATGTGGGGGGGAGACACAGAGATAGGGGTGTGTTGGATGTGGGGGGGAGACACAGAGATAGGGGTGTGTTGGATGTGGGGGGGAGACACCACAGAGATAGGGGTGTGTTGGATGTGGGGGGGAGACACAGAGATAGGGGTGTGTTGGATGTGGAGGGGAGACACAGAGATAGGGGAGTGTTGGATGTGGAGGGGAGACACAGAGATAGGGGAGTGTTGGATGTGGAGGGGAGACACCACAGAGATAGGGGAGTGTTGGATGTGGGGGGGAGACACAGAGACAGGGGAGTGTTGGATGTGGAGGGGAGACACAGAGATAGGGATGTGTTGGATGTGGAGGGGAGACACAGAGACAGGGGAGTGTTGGATGTGGAGGGGAGACACAGAGACAGGGGAGTGTTGGATGTGGAGGGGAGACACAGAGATAGGGATGTGTTGGATGTGGAGGGGAGACACAGAGACAGGGGAGTGTTGGATGTGGAGGGGAGACACAGAGACAGGGGAGTGTTGGATGTGGAGGGGAGACACAGAGATAGGGGAGTGTTGGATGTGGAGGGGAGACACAGAGACAGGGGAGTGTTGGATGTGGAGGGGAGACACAGAGATAGGGATGTGTTGGATGTGGAGGGGAGACACAGAGACAGGGGAGTGTTGGATGTGGAGGGGAGACACAGAGCTAGGGGAGTGTTGGACATGTTGGAAGTGCAGAAAGAAAACTGTCTGAAGAGGAAAGAAAGTGTTTTTAGAAATATTTTTGTGTACCCACCGATCCACCAAAATTTTCACACAAATATTTTTGAAGTAAGAATTTTATAAAGTCTAAAGAAGGCAAACTGCTTGAATGTACTGAAGCCAGTATTTGACTGCCCGACAGATACTGATGCTGGACGAGGCGACTGCAGCCATCGACACAGAGACGGACACACTGGTGCAGACAACCATCAAGGAGACTTTCTCCGACTGCACCATGCTGATCATAGCACACCGTCTCAACACCGTCCTCAGCTGTGACAGGATCATGGTCATGGAGGATGGCAAGGTGAGGAACCAGTCCTGTAGTGTTCCAGGGGACGGGGATTTATCTTGGTGGGGTGGGAGATCATGGTCATGGAGGATGGCAAGGTGAGGAACCAGTCCTGTAGTGTTCCTGGGGGGTGGGGATTTATCTTGGTGGGGTGGGAGATCATGGTCATGGAGGATGGCAAGGTGAGGAACCAGTCCTGTAGTGTTCCTGGGGGGTGGGGATTTATCTTGGTGGGGTGGGAGATCATGGTCATGGAGGATGGCAAGGTGAGGAACCAGTCCTGTAGTGTTCCTGGGGGGCGGGGATTTATCTTGGTGGGGTGGGAGATCATGGTCATGGAGGATGGCAAGGTGAGGAACCAGTCCTGTAGTGTTCCTGGGGGGTTGGGATTTATCTTGGTGGGGTGGGAGATCATGGTCATGGAGGATGGCAAGGTGAGGAACCAGTCCTGTAGTGTTCCTGGGGGGCGGGGATTTATCTTGGTGGGGTGGGAGATCTTGGTCATGGAGGATGGCAAGGTGAGGAACCAGTCCTGTAGTGTTCCAGGGGTGGGGATTCATCTTGGTGGGGTGGGAGGTGAGGTGAGGTGAGGTGAAATTGGGTTTAACGTCGCGTCCAAGATTATAGCACTTATTTAAAGACGTGCATGTACATGCGTGTGTGTTTGTGTGTGTGTGTGGCTGCTTGTACTAGTCTGGACTGATGCCAATTTATAGTGCTAGCTTACTGAGATACCATGCCTGCAGTTTTACATAAATACCCCACTCAGACACAGTATACTGACTCCGAGCCAACCAGTCCTTGTTTTAGCCCATAATGCCGAGCGCCAGACAGGGTAACAACAAGTACCATCTTTTAACGTCTTTTGGTCTGAGTGTAAGAGATGACTTATATTGGATGTCACAGTGGCTGCTGAAAGCAAGACCATTGCTCCAGGCCTTATGCAGGAAACTATGTCGATAGTCAGGGTATGCAGCATCATCGGTATATCGGTAAATTGAGGTTCATTCTTTCCACGATACGTATCACAATATCATTTTTTCATGCGTGATGTATCGAGTGATTTTAAATAGCGATTTTTATCATGAGTTTAATGTTATATACTTGCCAAATGCCTTCACTTCCCAGGAGCGAGCATCTGGGACTCCAAGATGGCTGCGTATTTATTGACTGAGTAAACATTATGTTGTTCCAGCATCTTGTTTTGTTCCATTTAGGAACTTCAGTTTATTCCTTAATGTATCAGATTGCTTCTTAATTAAAAATTTAGAATTATAAAATATATCGTGATACTTATCGCAATATGGCCTTGTGGGTCGCAAGATATTGTGATACACTTTAAACCACAAATACCCATCCCTAGTTGATAGTTTGCATAACAATCTGTAGATTCAATGGTTAAATTAGTAATAAATAAAACATAAATCATACATCTGAAAACTCAGTTTTTGCAGTCAAATTTCAAATTTGCTGTGTCGTTTCGAGAGTATTAGGAAAACTTCAGATTAGAGTTACTTCCCCTTGGTTTGAGCAGAGAGAGGGAGGAAAATGGTGACTTCGACATTGTTGACCATACTTTATTTATTTCTATTACGTGTATTAATAGGATTAAAGCCTTAAAACAGTACTACTCCCATAGTTGACAACTGTCGCAATATTATTACAATAGTGTGGGATACTATTGCAATACAATCACTATAATGAAAATGGGTCCAATAGTCACCTAAATTGCAGAGCCAAATATAATGCTAAACCCACTCAAGTATTTCTAAATTCATGGCATGTGATACATTTTCAACAGATGTGATAATGTCTCATTGTGTCATTGATTGCAGGTTGTCGAGTTTGACAAACCATCAGCTCTGATGTCCAAGTCTGACTCCAAGTTCAAGGCCATGTTAGAAGCCACGGAGGGTCAGCCGAGTTCATCATGACAGGGATCCCAGGTGTAAAGCGAGATGACCGATACGGAGACACGAGCCATGCCAGACTCATGCTGCGGAGCATTGGACACTTCTATTTTCTTACGTTTTTCCATATCGGTGACATGTATCTGCAGCATCTGATTGGCCAAAGTCTGGTAGCCAGTGTGAGAATCTGATTGGACAGGACATCGAGCCAGAATCTGAATGGATAATTCCTGTAGCTAGTTTGAGAATCTGATTGGATAATTCCTGTAGCCAGTGTGAGAATCTGATTGGATAATTCGTGTAGCCAGTGTGAGAATCTGATTGGACTGGGCACTGAGCCAGAATCTGAATGGATAGTTTCTGTAGCCAGTGTAACAATCTGATTGGATAATTCTTGTAGCCAGTGTGAGAATCTGATTGGATAATTCCTGTAGCCAGTGTGAGAATCTGATTGGACAGTGCAACGAGCCAGAATCTGATTGGACTGGGCACTGAGCCAGAATCTTAATGGATAGTTTCTGTAGCCAGTGTAAGAATCTAATTGGATAATTCATGTTGCTGATGTGAGAATCTGATTGGACTGGATTGGACATCAGCCATAATCAGATTATTTGGCAGGGTGTTGAGCTAGAATCTGAATGATAATCCCTGAAGCCAGTATGAGAATTATATTGGGTTATTTCTGTAGCCAGTGTGAAAATCTGATTGGATAAATCCATGACGCCATTGTGAAAATCTGATGTGACAGGACATCAAGCCAGAATCGGATTATTGGGCAGGACATCGAGCCACATTCTGATTGGATAATTCCTGTAACCAGTATGAGAATCTGATTGGACAGGGCATCGGGCCAGAATCTGATTGGATTATTCCTGTAGCCAGTGTGAGCTGGATTGGACAAGAAAACTACCCAAGCAATGAGATAATCACCTGGGGGAAGTGGGAAAGTCAAAGTGAGACGTATTCATATTGGAATTTTATTGAACCATACAAACCAAAATCGAATTGAGGTGTGCATTTGGTAGGTTTGGACAACGTTTTGGTTTGCACAAAACATGGAAACTGTTTGGGCAGTACTCCGGTCAGTGACAGGAGAATACATTTTGTCTAACAGTGCTGGAGATAATAACACATGTCAGCAAGGAATGTGAAACAATCAAGTCAATGTACTATACTTCTCAGTACACCATAATCATTCTCAACCTGACACTGCCAAACTTAAAACAATTCTTGATATCAGTACCAATTGGGGGTGTGGTGATACGCCTACCTCATGAATCATTACATGTCGCACATATCACGTGTATCATGTGTATAGCGATACTTAATTTGTGCTGTCGAGTGAAGGTCTCCATGTTACATAAGGTCCTGGGCCCTGTTCCATATGACACACAAATGATTCTCCTGATTTGCCAAGGGAATAAAGACAGAGAGACATATCTGATTATCTCTATCAAAATTGAGTGGAATAGTATTAAAACAAGCCTGACCAGTTACTTGAGAGAAAGATGAAGTGGTTGACAGCCACAACCTGTTCCATAAAGTGATCGTAGCCCTAAGGTGATCGTAACTCCCATACTTTTAGATATGCTGATGACAGTCGCAGCGCTACGACTGCCTTCCTGAACAGAACCCTCGGCCCTGTTCAACAATGTGACCGTAGATCTTCACCTATTGTAAGCCAGAGCTAAAGTATGGGAGTTACGATCATCTTAGTGTTACGACTGTTGTAAGCTTATGCTTAAGTATGGGACTTACAATCATCTTAGTGTTATGACTGTTGTAAGCTTATGCTTAAGTATGGGACTTACGATCATCTTAGTGTTATGACTGTTGTAAGCTTATGCTTAAGTATGGGACTTACAATCATCTTAGTGTTACGACTGTTGTAAGCTTATGCTTAAGTATGTGACTTACGATCATCTTAGTGTTACGACTGTTGTAAGCTTATGCTTAAGTATGTAAGTTACAATCATCTTAGTGTTACGACTGTTGTAAGCTTATGCTTAAGTATGTAAGTTACAATCATCTTAGTGTTACGACTGTTGTAAGCTTATGCTTAAGTATGGGACTTACCATCATGTAAGTGTTACGACTGTTGTAAGCTTATGCTTAAGTATGGGACTTACCATCATCTTAGTGTTACGACTGTTGTAAGCTTATGCTTAAGTATGGGACTTACAATCATCTTAGTGTTAAGACTGTTGTAAGCTTATGCTTAAGTATGGGACTTACAATCATCTTAGTGTTACGACTGTTGTAAGCTTATGCTTAAGTATGTGACTTACAATCATCTTAGTGTTACGAATGTTGTAAGCTTATGCTTAAGTCTGTGACTTACGATCATCTTAGTGTTACGACTGTTGTAAGCTTATGCTTAAGTATGTGACTTACGATCATCTTAGTGTTACGACTGTTGTAAGCTTATGCAAAAGAATAGGACATACGATCATCTTTGCACCACGACTGTCAAATGCCTATGCTGAAGTACCATAATCTTAGTGCTATGGCTGTCGTAAGTCAATGTTAAAGCATGGGAGTTACGATCACCTTAGCGCTAAGATCACTTTGTGGAACAGGTTGTGGCTGTCAACCACTTCATCATTCTCTCAAGTAACTGTTTAGATACTATTCCACTCAATTTTGATAGAGATAATCAGATATGTCTATCTGTCTGTATACACTTATCAAGAGAATCATTTTTGTGTCATAGAAAGATTAAAATATCCCTATCAAAAGTAGAGTAGGATATTTTCCTATCAGATTTATCATCCTGTTCCATGATAGGCGAGTAACGCGAGAACGATGGCCTGGTTACTGCAACACTTTGTAATTGTTATTATCCTCAGTAAACACTAGAATTTTCTAGCCATGTTTGTGTACCACTGACCAAGAGAATGAAGCCTTACATCCAGTGTTTGAAATAAACACCTGCCCGTGGGCCCGTGGCAGGTAATTTTTATGTCGGGTCCATCGTTTCAAATTTGTATGGGTCCTTATGGCCTACAGTAAATTTATGTGTGGATTTATTTACCAGAGCTGCATTGTTTTTAATGAGGGCCTGAAGAGTTTAGTCAGGGCCTGGAGCTTCTATAGTCTGTGGGTCCTGATTGTAGCCTGGCATTTTGTTTTATTTGTTGCTTACGTAGGATGAGGTATGATATGCACTACTGAGCAATGTTGAAATGTATGTATTTATCATGTTTACATACAATATTTTCACAGAATGTACTTCAGAGATGGAAAGAAGTTACTAGTCACCATTATTAACAAACAGTCAACAGTTATCACTCTAATCCATCACTTACAGACTTTCCTCCCACATTAGGCTGACACGATATAACTGGAATACTGTTTGAAGCTGTGTTAAACCCAACTCACTCATTCACTCAAAACTTTTATCGATCCATCCACTAAATATAACCCAAATATTTGTGAGGTAGTGCATTGTTCATGTATGTTATCTACAAGGGTTGAATGATTGTTTGTAATAACTTTTCAATAATTGCACTTGTACATTTGAGCAATTCTCAATGCTGATTGGTCAGTTGAAGCCATGATGTCACAGTGCTTGTTGAGAAAAATGAGATATATTGTCATCCATTGTTCATGACATCACATGCTGTGTCATCTAAACTGAGGGAATTTTCTCTGTAGGGTTGTCATTTCATGTTTGTTTTTTTTCATTTTCTTTCTTAAAATGTCAGTGTGTAAATTATAGAATAACATATTCGTAATTACAAATTATCTGTCCAAAACTCAGAACTTCCACTATACAGATAACCCATAATTATGAATATTTAGTTCGTTATTCTTTAAGTATTGCATCTATCTTGGCCAGTAGTACCGTATATCGCCGTCTATAAAGCGACCCCAGGTAAAGTATTTCCGATGTTACATGCTCACAGGGGGTAGATTAGGTCTTCAGCAACCCATGCTTGCCGTAACAGGCGACTATGCTTGTCGTAAGAGGCGACTAACGGGATCGGGTGGTCAGGCATGCTGACTTGGTTGATGCATGTCATCGATCCCAATTGTGTGGATTGATGTTCATGATGTCAATCACTGAATTGTCGGGTCCAGAATCGATTATTTACAGACCACCGTCATAAAGCTGGAATATTGCTGAGAGCGTCGTTAAACAACAAACAAACAAACAAACATGCTCACAGTAATGTCTTTGTGTTGGGCAAAAAAACATCAAAACTCTTCAACCCTGTGTATAAGAGAACCCCTCTTGAAAGCCCCCTAATTTTAGGTACGAAAAGCTTGCCTTATACACGGCGATATACAGTGACATAAAAGTAGTTGTCCTGATCATTTTCCATCATTTGTCTGGTCGGTCAGCGTGTTTGTTGAACCCTACAAAAGCTGCAATATGTAACTTAATTTTGACGGCATTAATCATATGACAAATATCATATCTTGGAGCATATTCATATTAAATATATCAATTTATTATTGTTAGATCTTGATTATGAAAGACTTTGCTTTTGGGTCACATGAAATGTTTGGTTGGGGTTAACCACGAATGTTTGTATTTTATGTCCCCGATGGGAGGTGCAGGCTTGGAAGCAAGAAATCAGTACATTTTTATGCGGCTTGATACATAATGTGTGGAGAGGTATCTGTTTCCATAGACCCTTTTTAGTGTCGGATGTCATCAGCCAATTATCTGTATTGTTTCAACCTTGTCAAAAGTATGGCCATTGTATATTGTGTCAGTACACGATAATGTAGTTTTGAAACTGCTTTTTTCAGATTTAGTTTATTGTGATAGACACAGAACACACACACACACAACACACACACACACAACACAACACACACACACACAACACACACACACACACGATGGGATTTCAGGCTAGAAAATACAAACAATTCGATCTCAGACAGTGGCTTTTGAAATGAACTAGTGCAGCAATTTTTAAGTTTGAGCGATGTATCAAACTAAAGAAGAATTGCAGTGTTACCATAGCTGAGAATGGAAATGTCTTTATATTTGTGAAATCAATTGTCTGATGTTTTATGACTTCCATGGCTGTAGATATTTAACTGCTGCTTGGCATTGTATACAGCGTTAGAAATTGGCACTTGTCCTGTTGTCCTTGTCGAACTCGCCTGGAATTTCATGGCTCGATCGTTGTGCCACCATTGGCTATTTGAGTTGTGTCAAGATAATCTGATTGATAATAATGATCTATATATTGTTATATTTTTGTAATATAAAAAGTCTTATCTTGGACTCCCTGGTCTCCAGGTCTCCAAGTTGTTGTTAGAGATGACCCATGTTATGATCATCTTCCCGAGGCAAGGGATTTAACTGACTGTAAAAGTCCAGTTACCACCCTTGCTGAATTAGGCTAGAATTTCTGGGCTAGATCATAGCGCCACCAGTGGCCATTACGAGTTATGTCCCTTCCATGTCCCTCCTATTGACCAATCAGATTCCACCTCTCATATCACTTGCTTTTGCTTCAAACAAAATGGTGGTGCCCAGTCAAGAAGATCTGATCGATAATGAAGAAGATCTGTATTTTAAAAAACCAGATCTTAATTTGTGAATCACACGAGCACATTGATTAGAAAAATGAAATTATTTGGAAAATACCTGAGTTGATGGTACACATGCTTTGCAACTCGTTAGTCCAGCCAAAGTGTAACTCCATAATACTAGCCTAGTTCGGCAAGGTTGGAAACTGGACTTTTAGAGTCCCTTATCTGCTTGTCCTCGGGAAGATCAGTAACGATTGGAAGGTCACAATGGTTGCTAGATACTTTGATAAAGGGGCTACTAACTCTCAGATGTGATGCAGGTGATGCTGTGGCGGCCTGGATTGTTCATCTCTGTGCTGACCAGCCTTGTTTATAGCTGTGGGATTTCGTTTTTTTCTAAACTAGCTTAGTGATACACCTGTGGGATATAGCTTTCAGAAATACCTTAGTGATACAGCTTTTGGATACAGCTTTCAGAAAAAGCATAGTGATCACTACAGCTTTTGGATATAGCTTTCAGAAAAAGCATAGTGATACAACTTTTAGATGTAGCTTTCAGAAAAAGCATAGTGATACAACTTTTAGATATAGCTTTCAGAAAAAGCATAGTGATACAACTTTTAGATACAGCTTTCAGAAAAAGCATAGTGATACAACTTTTAGATATAGCTTTGTGAAAAACCTTAGTGATACAGCTTTGGGATATAGCTTTCAGAAAAAGCATAGTGATACAGCTTTTGGATACAGCTTTCAGAAAAAGCATAGTGATACAGCTTTTGGATACAGCTTTCAGAAAAAGCATAGTGATACAGCTTTTGGATACAGCTTTCAGAAAAAGCATAGTGATACAGCTTTTGGATATAGCTTTGTGAAAAACCTTTGTGATACAGCTTTGGAAGACAACTGTGTGGTACAGTCCTGTTAGGCTGTGTAATGTAGATATGATATAGCTGTGCATGCTCTGTGAGTCCCCAAAAGGAAAATCCATCAATGTGACTACCTCGCCAAACTGAGAACAAGCCTGGGAGTTCCTTGGTTTAGGTCTGCGTATGGGTCTAGGTCTGGCCTGGGGTTTAGTTGGGGCCACCTTGGGCCTAGGTTGGCACAGGGGCAATGGTTGGGCCTGGTGTCTAGGTCTGGCCTGGGGTTTAGTTGGGGCCACCTTGGGCCTAAGTTGTCACAGGGGCCAAGGTTGGGCGTGGTGTCTAGGTCTGGCCTGGGGTTTAGTTTGGGCCACCTTGGGCCTAGGTTGTCACAGGGGCCAAGGTTGGGCCTGGTGTCTACGTCTGGCCTGGGGTTTAGTTGGGGCCACCTTGGGCCTAGGTTGGGCCTGGGGTTTAGGTCTGGCCTGGGGTTTAGGTGAGATCAAGGGACAAGGTGGGGGCCACCTGGGGCCAAGGTTGGACCAGGGTCTAGGTCACGCCACCTTGGGTCTAGTATGACTTTGTGTTCCTGGTGGGCAAAGTGGCCAACACCTTGTCTTCTGGGCAATTTTGAGTGTGGGATGTTTTAACATGATGAATGTTTTCAGTCACAGTACTTCTTATCAGGGAACCAAAAACAGGAAGATGTTATTGTTACAAATTGTTATATGCTTCGTGTGAAAAAAGAGAGAATGCCCATCTATTTTATATCTTAGACACTGGGCCCTGTTCCACAAACGTATCTTAGCACGAATATTGTCGTAAGTCAGTGTTAAGAGTATGGCATGTATTATCCTCATAGTGTAACCTACATTCTTTAGCACTGTGTAGCAACTCGAAGTATGATACTGTATGGTTGAAATAGGCCCCCAGCAACCTGTGCTGGTTGTGAGGACCAGCTACATTGGATAAGGTTTTCAGGTTGGTTGATTGTGTGTCATCCTGTCCTGACTGCATAGGATGGTGCTCTGGATATCGAGCACTGGTTAGCCTGGCTCAGACTCCAAGGCCGTAGATAACTTTTTTTGACAGGGGGGCAAATAAGATTTTTCATTTTTCATTCAAGTTAACTTTCACAAGGAAAAATGTTTCCGTAAAAAATCCAGGGGGGCAACTGCCCTCCCTGGGCCCCCCCCCTGACTTGTGCTCAAAAACACATCTTTTCTGATTTCGAGCTCTATTATGGATTTTCACTGTGTTTCAATTCACCTTTTATTTGACTGGGGGTAACGCAAACAGACCAACACATATCTCCTTTATTGTACTGTTGTTCGTTGTTTAACACCACAATCAGCAATATTCCAGCCATATGACATTGGTCTGTAAATAATCCAGTGTGATCATTTTAGAAATGGTGACATGAATCAACCAAGTCTGCTACCACCAGATCCCATTAATTTCCACTCATTTCTGAGGATCCATTCTAACCCGGGATATTCACTGGGAATTGTACCATTGACTTAAAGTATAGAGCTAAGAACGCTTTGTGGATCAGGGCTCTGGTTTGTTGTAGCTATTATTATTATTATTATTATTATTATTATTATTATAGTCTCCCTTTGTTGCATTTACTGCCAAAAAAAAGCTGTACCTGATTACCCCGGGATGTATAATATTTGAAGTTAATTCATTAGGGGACTAAACCGTTAATATTCTGGGATTGGGGAACTTCTTTCAAAAAAAGAGAGACAACGAATTATGTTTCTATCACACCACATTTTTCCAGGACTCTCAAGAGGTCCAGCTAACAATTATTTTTGGTGTGTGAAATTTGAAATAAATATTATTTTTCTTAAAAATACTAGCAATATACCTCAAACTCCCAGAATATCAAACAGTGAGTCCCTAGTGCAGGACTGTTCTGTATGACTGTTGCCATTGTTCACTGTTATCTTACCAATGTTTTTTGGTGTACTTTTTAATCAATTGCTTTCTTAATACTTTTTTATTCTGTGGAGGCTTCTTTGCTGTCTTAAAGAATCCTGTCATTGTTTACTATATATATTGTTTACATATTATATCTTATGCAGTTGTATACTTTGTTGTCAATATGTAAATGACCACATATTTCAATAATTGAAATAAACTATTTTTTATTTTAACAGAAAATGTGTAATGTGTTGTGTATTATTTAGTTCAATCAGTCCATGATTAATTTTCTGTAATCATTTACAGATGTTTTTGCAAAAACAATTATCTTTCATCTGCTAAAACATAATTAAATTAAAGTCATTCCTGCTAATCCTCTATTACATCATAGCCATAAATCCTGAATTTTGGCTGCAGACACTCTGTAACTAGATCTTCAGATTTTCATCAGAAGTCCTCTTCACTGTCAACTTCACTCTACTAGTTGTTCCCCTAATAGCACATTTAGCTGTTCAGCTCTTCTGTGCGTAAAGGCGGGAAAAACGTCACTTCTTTCCTGTGTAACGCTGCTTTTAACAGTATTCCAGTTATATCATGGCGTGTCAGCTATAGGTGGGAGGAAAGCCTGAAGTGATGCAGGTCTCAGACGTTTACCATTTCGTTGAAACCCACGAGCACGGGTATGGTGCTGACAAACCTAGAAATCGGGGCGAACCGGGATTCGAACCCACGATCATAGGTTTCTGGCGTGTCCAAGGGACGCAACTCTGCACAGCGAAGCCACCTTAATCGATGATGTTCGATTGGGTTTAAATCTGAATACCTGGGGGGACATTGCAGGACCTGGTTGTCGCGATTCCTGAAAAAGGCTGTTGTCAGTCTTACCGTGTGAGGTCGGACGTTGTCTTGGACAATGACGTTTGCTTGTTGCATAATGGGAAGGACATGTGGCGGCCGAAGAATCACATCCATTTAACGTTGTGCCGTTAAATTCCCCAGAACTTGCACCAAGTGTGTTCTACAAGAAATGGCTGCCAACGTCATCACACTACCACCACCAAACTGTATATAGTCTGTATGAAGTTACGTGCATAACGTTCCCCGCGACGCCTGTAAACACGACGTCCACCATCCGTACGGCGAAACATGAAGCGTAACTCGTCACTGAACCAATTTGTCACCATTGCAGTTGTGACCATACTCTGTGACCTTGACACCATTGACGTCGCAGCCGACGATGCAGGTACGTCAAAATGACACCTCGAACTGATCTTCTATAGCTAGCGCGAATACCTTCAGTGCCTAAACAATTGCTCACTGTCTGGGCCGATATCCTACCCAATCCTGGTATTGTCGAGGTTGTGGTTCTTTCACGTAAAGGACGTAGCCGTATGAATCTGTCCTTTTATCTAGTAGTGATACGTGGTCGACCGGATCTGGGAACATCTGATAACGGTTTCATAGTCTTGTAATGGTGCTTGGTGCTACATGGAAACACCAGGCTGCAGCTGAAGATAATTCTCCTGTTTGCAGTCGGTCGATGGCGTTGTTGCGTTTTGCTTCTGTCAGTGAGTGAGTGAGTGAGTATGGTTTTACGCCGCTTTTATCTATATTCCAGAAATATCACGGCGGGGATACCAGAAATGGGCTTCACACATTGTACCCGTCGGGATTCGAACCCGGGTCTTCGGCGTGACGAGCGAACGCTTTAACCACTAGGCTACCCGACCGCCCCTTCTGTCAGTTGTGGCATGTTTTCGACACTCACTTGCTGTAAGATTGTTAATTGTTATGGTATGCAAATGAAAACTGTCATGTTGGTGTGTTTCGGCGCCAGGCTCTCACCTGGTTCTGCTTTTGAGATTGTTCCATCGTTTCACCAAATTCACCAGTACCTCATTCTTTCCACACAAATCAATTCCAATCAATGCAGAAATGACCAATAACTTTTGGTATTAATTTTGTATGGATGTCGGCAGCAGTCAATCAGATATTTACGATTTTACCACTTTTGCGTCACTTGTCTTTGCAGAGTATAATTTTCACAACTATGTGATAACCAAGACTGAATATTTAGTTCTCTTGGATTGACGTTTTATAGTTTCTTTGCTGCTTTACGTGTCCACCCAGGTTTGGCCATTGGAATGCATTCTTTCAAAGAAGGCGTGTATTTCCTCGGCTGATGGACGGTCCAAGGGACTTGCACTGAGGCAGTTGGTGATAACGCTGGCAACGGCGTGGTCGGAACAACCATCGAACACCGACTGCAATATCCCCCCCAAGCTGTACACGTCAGACGAGGAGGTCACCGCCAGCTTCTGGGGCATTTCCGGTGAGTCACCATGTGTCACGTGACTAGCGTGAAGCACGTGGCCAGTTCCAATACCTTTCCCAATGTCCTTGAACTTGATAACAGGGTAATCGTCTTTTATTTCAAACAATATGTTTTGTGGATCCATACAATTAAGGATAAGACCATGTTGGTGAAACAGAAGCAATGCTTTTGATAATTCAAGTGCTAGTGCAACTTTTACATATTTTCGGGAATGTGTAATTGTTTTCAGAACGTCTGCTAACACGGTCGTATTTGTCATGGATTCCTGGACGATACACAGATCCTCCAGAAGGTTCTCTGACGAAGTCAAACCTAAGAATGTCGGGACGTAGCCTGAGGAACTCATGACGTAGCTGACGTATGCCTCGTGACGTATGTCCTCAAAGACGGCGTTGTCATCGCATTTGACAACAACTGTCGCGTTAGTTCCCGAGTAATAGGCTAAGGAGTATGTGGTATCCTTTCGAAAAGATTTCCAATTTTGTACGTATGTCCTCGCCTTTAAAAACTCCGAAGTAATTATTGGCAATTTCGATGACAGCACATTGGGTTGGGTCGCGTCACCACCAGCAACACTAGGTGATCTTCCGCTGAATAAATCGGTGGGAGTATCCCCATCCACTGCGGGTTCCTGTACCCAATCCATATTGTTCTTAACAGACTGCATATATTCATAGCACGTGTCTCTGTAAATCTTTAAAATCCCGGCTTTGGCCTGTTTTAAAGTAGGTCTATCTTTCGACAGTCTCTCGTTGCATTTTCTGGCAATTTTATAAAATTTGAGAGATTCGATGAATTTCGACATCATCAACAACATGTCCCCTAAAGAGTACACATCGCTTGCAGGGGTAGATAACTCGTGAAACACTTCCGGCGCCAGGAAGTCGCCCGTGTGTCGTTTTTCTTTCGGTACATGAGAAAAACAGGCTCCTTTCCTGAAGGTAGCGAGGCCAAAGTCTATGATGTACAGATGAGGAGAGGAGCCACGCCATGTGATTAGCAGGTTGTCCTCATGCAAATCGTTGAACAGGACGTATTTACTGTGGATGTAATCCAGTGTCGAGACAGCTTGTTGAGCTATGTTCAACCAATCGCACTCGCTCAGCGGGTCCTCGTCGTCCACAAGTTGCCCAAGTGTGGTCGAATTGTCCAGAAAGTCGATCACGAGAGCGAGGTCATCCAGTGACACGCCATGAGGAAGGATACCTTGGACGTTAGGGATATGAGAGTTGCCCTGAAGATAGGCCGTCAAGGTAGCTTCAGACAGAACCTCGTCATAATCTCCGTCCGTGAGTTTCTTCACTGCGACTTTCTGTCCTGTGAAGCGCATCCGACCTTCGTACAGCTTTGCCGTGAAGCCTTTGTTGAGGAGCTTGAACTGTTGTTTGTGGTTTAAGACATGGAGGACGCTTTCTTCGTGCAACAGAACTGGTTTAAACTGACTGAGATCACGTGGTATGTCATCACCGGGATACCCATAGTTCTTGAAGTCAAAGTTTGGAACTGAACCTGAGATTGTTTTGTGTTTGTTGCCTATTGAGGCCGATCCTTGAACGCCTGGAAAATACAAATTGCAAGAAATTGAAAGTAGTTATAGAGTATATAGTTGTGTTATAAACGTCTGACCTCCTCTGTTCTTAGCACTATAAATGGGCATCAGTCCGGACTAGTACAAGCAGCCACACAAACAAACACACACACGTACATGCACGTCGCTATATAAGTGCAATAATCTTGGACTCGACGTTAAACCCAATTTCACCTCACCTCACCTTACCTCACTACTACTACTACTACTACTACTACTGATACTACTACTACTGCTACTGATACTACTTATGTTGTTTGTTGTTTGTCACACAGCAATATTCCAGCTACATGACGGTGGTTTGTAAATAATCGAGTCTGTACCAGACAATCAAGTGATTGACATCATGAGCATCGATCCACGCAATTAGGTTGGTCGGTTGGTTGGCCTGTTGTTTAACGCCGCACTCAGCAATATTCCAGCTATATGACGGCGGTCTGTAAAATAATAGAGTCTGGACCAGACAATCCAGTGATTGACATCATGAGCATCGATCCACGCAATAAGGAGACAACTTACCACTACCACTACTACTTCGCCTCTTACGACAACTATGATCCTTACGTCTCACAACAACAACAACTGCTACTACTACTACTACTACTACTACTACTACTACTACTACTACTACTACTACTACTGCCACTGGGCGGTCGGGTAGTTTGGTGGTTAAAGCATTCGCTTGTCAAGCCGAAGACCCGGGGTCGATTCCTGACATGGGTACAATGTGTGAAACCCATTTCTGGTGTATCCCGCCGTGATATTTCTGGAATATTGCTAAAAGCGGCGTAAAACCATACTCACTCACTACTACTACTTCTTCCGGCTTAGCTCCGACATAAAGCTGAAGCGCCGGGACAGACAGGAAATGCTGTTCCAAGCGGCATTCGGCCAAACTCCCTTTACGTAACCTCAACCGACTGTCCGACCCGTAACCCCCTGATGAGAAGACACTGAGATGTCCGACCCGTAAGCCCCTGATGAGAAGACACTGAGATGTCCGACCCGTAAGCCCCTGATGAGAAGACACTGAGATGTCCGACCCGTAAGCCCCTGATGAGAAGACACTGAGATGTCCGACCCGTAAGCCCCTGATGAGAAGACACTGAGATGTCCGACCCGTCAACCCCTGATGAGAAGACACTGAGATGTCCGACCCGTCACCCCCTGATGAGAAGACACTGAGATGCCCGACCCGTCACCCCCTGATGAGATGACACTGAGATGCCCGACCCGTCACCCCCTGATGAGAAGACACTGAAATGTCCGACCCGTCAACCCCTGATGAGAAGACACTGAGATGTCCGACCCGTCAACCCCTGATGAGAAGACACTGAGATGTCCGACCCGTCAACCCCTGATGAGAAGACACTGAAATGTCCGACCCGTAACCCCTGATGAGAAGACACTGAGATGTCCGACCCGTCAACCCCTGATGAGAAGACACTGAGATGCCCGACCCGTCACCCCTGATGAGAAGACACTGAGATGTCCGACCCGTCAGCCCCTGATGAGAAGACACTGAGATGCCCGACCCGTCACCCCTGATGAGAAGACACTGAAATGTCCGACCCGTAACCCCTGATGAGAAGACACTGAGATGTCCAACCCGTCACCCCCTGATGAGAAGACACTGAGATGTCCTACCCGTCAGCCCCTGATGAGAAGACACTGAGATATCCGACCCGTCAACCCCTGATGAGAAGACATTGAGATCCGGGTGATCTCATGAGTGAGTGAGTGAGTTTGGTTTTACGCCGCTTTTAGCAATATTCCAGTAATATCACGGCGGGGAACACCAGAAATGGGCTTCACACATTGTACCCGAACCCATGTCTTCGGCGTGACGAGCGAACGCTTTAACCACTAGGCTACCCGACCGCCCAAAGGGTGATCTCATGAGCTACATGTGATGAGAGTCAGGGCGTTTGTTATTAAGGGTCTAGCCACTATCACCATCGAACATGCAAGATTGAAATATAGAAATGAATGTAAAGTTGGAAAATACATAACACAAATAAACATTATTATTACAATAATATTGCATTAATTGGTTATACACTCAAAACCAAAGTTCTCGAGACCATGTTTTTGTGGAAGATGTTGCGTTTTCGAAACTACCATATTCCATGAGCCTGTTACACTATTTGGGCGGGTTATTTTGTATTTACGCGTTATCGTGTTGTTTCTGTTCCTCATTAGAGTACAGCAGTTTTGAAGGGAAAACAATGTTGAAATCTGACTTCATATTAAACTCTAATGTGTATTAAAATGGAATCCAATTCTTGACAAGATGTTTGTTGTGCACACAATCTAAGTATTAGTCTATATAAAGTCATAAAGAATAAATAAATAAAATAAATAAATAAATAAATAAATAAATAAATTTAAAGCGGAATACATATAAGCATATATATAACGAATATATAGGGAAACTGCGGAAATTTAGGAAAATACAGGAATAAGAAAAGGAAACAAAAAGAAATTGAGCAATGAATAAGCAAAAGAGACAATTTCTACCTCCATATATGAAATACAGACACGATGCAATCCACACCCGTGCTGCCATCATGGTTGAACTAGACCATCGTGCTGTACTGTTGTCAGGGGGATCGATGAAAGTCCAGTGACGGTTATAGTAAAGTACCAACTGTTGTTTGGGGGCGTATTGTTACGCATAATAAGCCCTGTAAAATGACCCATTTACCACACACTGACGCCTATAAAGGCCATTGTTAAATTGTAATTGGATAATCATCATAGCTTAATGATAGCGACCCCACACCATTGCGTTTAAGTTTTATGGTGTTTGGCGTATTTATGTGAGCTAAATGGGGTTTAACGTCGCGTTCAAGGTTATTGTGCATGCTCGTGTATGTGTGTGTGGCTACTTGTACTAGTCCGAACTAAGGACGATATTATAGTGCTAGCCTTTCCTTTTATTACCGTCGATCCTTTTATTACCGTCTTCGCCATGCTTGTGTATTTTTCCACTGAGGTCCATCCATGGTACGACCCAGAATATGTAGAGGGCAATGATAAATACAAAATATTTAGGAATAGGCCCGTATACAGCCTCAGACGTGTCCAGGCCAACAAAAATGATCTTGTCCTGTTTTGATATATCCAATTAAATCATTTATATACTGAACAACAAAAAATCCTGTGACATTGAATAAGACTTAATGCAAAGTTATGTTATGTTTTAACAAATCTGAAATAATTTCGGTTTGCAACCGATAAAAGACTCCAGTAAGTATTCAAATGGTTTGATTTGCCATACTGACTTCAGAAAATGCGTGATTTCATAAAAAAAGATGAACATGACAAAACGTCAATTTACAAATCAATAGCGTGTGTGTCCACCTCTGGTTGCGATGCAAGCAACACATCTTCGTCTTATGGAATGGACCAGGCGTCGCACAAAGTCCTGTGGGATATCTGTCCATATCTGCTGGAGCATGTTTCGAAGTTCCTGGAGTGTCTGTGGGACACGTGGTTGACGTCGAAGGCGCCGATCCATCTCATCCCACATGTGCTCCATTGGTGAGAGATGAGGAGAGCGAGCCGGCCTGGGGATGACATTCACGTTGTTTTGTTGAAGAGAATCCTGAACATGTCGAGCAAAATGGGGCCGGGCGTTGTCATGTTGAAAAGTAATGCCTGGGCCATGACGACGCAAAAACGGTAGAACAACAGTGTCGATGATCTCGTCGCGGTAGCGCTGTGCATTGAGATTTCCCTCTACCACTATCAAACGGGTGCTCTGTCTTGCTGTAATCCCACCCCATACCATAACGCTGCCGCCCCCGAACCGATCTTCTTCCATGACACAATGATTGACGTAACGTTCTCCTCGACGCCGCTACACTCGAATCCGTCCATCGCTGTGGCTGAGGTGAAAACGAGACTCGCCAGTGAAAAGAACTTGTCCCCACTGCAAGGCCGTCCAGCGTAGACGCTGTCTGTACCACTATAGACGTGCTTGACGGTGGTTTCTTGTCAAAATGGGACGTCTGGCGGGTCTTCTGGCGACAATCCCTGCACATCTGAGGCGACGACGTACGGTTTGTGAAGATGTTCGTCGAAGGCCAGGGATGCTTCTTGCAGTCACTGTTGCTGGCTGGAATCGATTTCGTAGGTGTGTTGTTCGAATCCAGTTGTCTTGTTGATTATTGGTTACGCGTGGCCTGCCACTCCGAGGATGGTCTCTGACTGCATTCGTCTGTTGCCAACGTTGCCATAAACACCAAATGGTGTTTCTATGGACGTTAAATTGTCTTGCAACATCACGTTGACTCGATCCTGGCTCGCAGACGCTCATTTTCGGACAGGCGTGGCATTTCGTATTGTTGAATAATTGCGTAATTTTGTTGTTTTTCTAAGTGGTTGTCAGCACGATGCTAAACAATGCATATGGAATCCCGTTAACGCACATGTTTTTATACCCATTCTTAGGTAGTGAAATGCATCGGGCTTGCATGTAAGTCAACTTTTGCATGGAATGCATGCTTTTCTGCAGCAGTTGCGTTTTTGTGACTTGATTCCATACATGTACTACAATATTGAAAACCAAACTTTACTTGTTTGAAAAATACACTAAAATATTGGTGTCACAGGAACTTTTGTTGTTGAGTATATGATTGAATTTTCTGTCCCTTTTTGACACTGATGTGATTGACAAGATTTATGAAAAACATGACAAATATGCAGACCTCGCTTTCGAAATCCAAGTACCAAGTTGTCCGACATCCCATTGTTCTCGGTGCCTTAGGTTTAGTACTGTTATAAGGTTAAAATGCGTCTAAAAACATTAGAAAATGGTAACAAATTAAACCGTTTATAGCTGCAGTGAGGAGTTGCATTAGATATAGTTTGTGACAAAGAACTTTTAGTTCGAAAGGAATTAATAGATAAAAGACATTTCACATTTATCACAAGAGTATTCTTGACATTTCATATTTATCATTGGATTGGTTCCAGGTTATCGTCCATTAGTTAATGAAACAAGCAGAGAGGCAAGATATTTAATTTTCATTTGTAGCATCCGGAGTGAGTCACAAAATCAATAGAGAGAGATGATCAGCCTTGCACGAAGGCTTCGGTATTTTTCCGATTACGACACACATGAGTTCATGGTCAGATCCAACTTTTAACGAATGAAAATGAGGTATTGTGACATGTGACAAAGACAGGCCAGGCCCGAACACTATATAATGATACCTTCAACATTAGGAGAGGAGAGCGCGGTTTGCAATCGATCGAGTCGAATGCCGATCGTTCTAAGTTTTCCCCATTTAGTGACGAGTCTGGCCGGTCTGATCCTGTTCTGCATTGATAGATGGGCTGAGAGTCAGTAAAACTATGTGAGTATAAAGCTGGTGTTGCGTTTCTTTATTGTGCGAGTATGAATGCTGATAGAGAAAACTTGGAGTAAGCGTCGTTAGACCATTCACTCCTTGACGGAGCCGAGCCGATGCTGACAAGGATCACCCAAAACCCTCGTTGCTGCATTTTTTTAAACCTGTATATAATGATAATGATGCTGATGCTGATGCTGTTAACGACTGAACAACGTTTAACTCCCTGACAATTCAAGATGCTTGCTCATCGCCCTGGGGAGTATACAATCCAATATGACCAGTATGCACCAGACGGTTTTTGTCATTTACATAGGATTTAATAGAGAGCAAAGATTATAGATTTGGAGCAAGTTTTATTTTCGGCTTGGATTCATTGATTTGTCGTTGCGACTACACACTGCAAGCTGCGACTGCCGTAACGGCGATGCCATGTGTGTTGAATATCAAAGGCGCTACATGCAACAGCTGGCAGTAGAATTGCACATTGTAGAGAAAGTTGTGATCGTAGACGAATTTACTCCGTGCAGATGTGTTTAAAAATGGGTTGATCAAATGTTTATTTTTTTAGGCCATATAACTCAGTTAGTATGGCATCCTCATCATCATTGGTAAGTTACCTTTACTTTACCTATTTTGCGATTTTCACAGGAAAAACATCGCTACTGCAATAACTATTAAGTCGGTGTATTTTGGCCATCCGCGATGCTTCAAAGTTAAATTTCCTCACACCTCCTCATCCATTTTACCTCAGCCCACACAGTCGTGTAGTAGGTCAGTATTTTGTATCAATAGATTATCAAGATCAACTGGACAGTGGTCGAACAAAGGTTATCGATCAGATGACTTTTGTTATGCCATGGCCCAGTCGAGCAGTCGACTGACCCTCTGTTAGTTAGTTACGATCAGTAGCACTGACTGCACTGAGGGGGCACGGGGGGCACAGTCGTCTAAGGCGCCGCGATTTGTTGTGCGGAGTTGCGTCCCTTGGGCACGCCAGAAACCTGTGATTGTGGGTTTGAATCCCGGTTCGCCCCGATTATGTTTCTAGGTTTGTCAGCACCCTACCCGTGCTCGTGGGTTTCATCGAAGTGGTAAACGTCTTAGACCTGCATCACTTCGGGCTTTCCTCCCACATTAAGCTGACACGCCTTGATATAACTGTAATACTGTTAAAAGCGGCGTTAAACTCACTACTGCACTGACATGCTGCAGTATTTGAAATATGTCTTTCAACTGCGACTATTAAGACCACAACATACATATCTTATACGAGCACGGGCAACTTGACAACATCGAGTACCATAATTTAATTTAATATAAGTATATAATTTTACAATTTTCAGAAGTATTAAATGCTTTTTAAAAAAACCCAGCGTACGTAACAGATTCCAGAGGTGGGTGGTAGCCGGAAGAGAGGACTCACTGCAGAGAGTCTTTCCAAATATTGTTTGTGACTGAATATCATTTCTTAATTTGTAATGGTTATCTGTTTCCATGTGACGTCACCAGAAGGCACATATACTGTGTTATACGTGTACATGCTTAGGGGACAAACGCGTATCCTGTAGACGCGGGAGCATGAATACATTTGTGTAATTGGTTATTGATTCAGTTGATAGTGTGACACATGTCACAGACCACGCTCAACCACGCTCAACGGAGGTTGTTACGATCGACATATTAATGTCCATAATGCGATTGTGAAATGACCTCGACACGCAACACATGCTGAGTGAGTGAGTGAGTGAGTGAGTGAGTTGGTGGGTGAGTGAGTGAGTGAGTGAGTGAGTGAGTGAGTGAGTGAGTGAGGTTTTACGCCGATTTTAGCAATATCACGGCGGGAACACCAGAGATGGGCTTTGTACCCATGTGGGGAATCGAACCCGGGTCTTCGGCGTGACGGGCGAACGCTCCAATCCCCAGGCTGCACCTGGGAGAAGTGCCCATTCCCTTCTTTGAGGGTTAACATGACTATATTTTAAAGCGATGTATAAACGTTTGATATGAATTATTTTTTTCTCGTCCACCCTTGACTCTGCATCTGTTTGCCGATATATTTCCTGTAGTGACCAATTTCTTTTTCAATTGAATTCCCAACCCCATATACCATATTTATAAATAAATATCAAAACTGCCCAAACTGACGGATATCATAGGCATTACCGCTCCCGAAAACCCCACGAGCACGGGTATTGTGGTGACAGGGGAAGTTTGGATTCGAACCCATGACCACTGCATTTTGCTGAGACGCAACTCCGCACATCGGAGGCCACACGTCTTTGATCATTGCAGCATATGTGCCGATCTCGCCGATGTGACTGCGGTGTGGTCGCCCCGATTGATACTGTAATCCTGTCCTTGCCTGTATGA